AGAAGAGCCAAATCATGTCTGCCCTAAACCTAGCCAAAGGGGTGGGTGTGGGGGGGCAGCCAGCCAAGAACACTCTCTATTCATCTCTCGACACCAAGCCTCTGCAGAGGTAGGTGTAGATTGTATAGGGACAGGCATAGACCACCTTCAACACCAGCTCCACAGATGTGGGCTCTAGAGCTGAGACAAACAGAAATCATACCAATCTAAAATGTTATGGGCAATCTGTACTGGTTAGTTTCCTTTTTGTAAAGTACTGAAAAAAGTACAGTAATAGTTACATAGTAAATATGGTTCCTTACTGTGTTAAGCATCGTACTAGGCACCAGATACTTGTGAAAGAGCAGAGCAGAGAACAGCATATGCTTTAGAACAAGACACATTTGGAGTATGATCCTCAATCTGACCTTTATTTCCACCTCTGTAAAGGTGAGTTAATAGAGTGCTGTGAAGGATTAAATGAGATAATGTAACTCAGGATAGTGACTAGCACACAAGAATAATGATAATAGCTAACATTTAGTGACTTCTTACTAAGTGCCAGACATTTTTTCTAAGCTCTTTATAGTAAGACCTCACTTAATGTCATAGAGAGGTTCTGTGACTTTAAGCAAAATGATGTATAATGAAATCAGTTCTACTATAGGCGAATTGACGTAAACAGAGTTAAATTCCTACCACATCTCATCATTATAACAAAACGACATTGAAAGAAACGACTCTATTTAAAGACCTGCTGTATCAATATTAACTCATTCTTTCTACAACCCTGCATTTATTGAGAAGCCTATGTGAAAGGCATTATTATAACTGCATTTTTATAGAAGAAAAAGCAGAGCCCAAGATGTTAAGTAATTTGCCCCAAATCACTGAGCTAGTAAGTGGCAAAGTGGGATTTGAAAGCGTATCACAGGGAATGAGAGCACAGACTCTGGAACCAGACAGCCTGGGTTAAATGCTCCATAAATATTACTTAATAGTTCAATAAGTGCTAACAATTTTTATTATTACATATATATTATCTCATTTAATTCTTTTAGTATGCCTATTAAATGGGATTTATCTTTATTTACTTGAGGAAAGAGGCTTGAGCACCCTTTGCCCAAATACGTTGTTACCCACCCAGCTTTAGCTCCCTGTGACAGCTGTAGCCCTCCAAAACTTGCTACCTTCACATAGCTTGTTTGGAGATTCTTTCACTTACTCTCTCTGCTAGAACCTCCCCTCCTCATGGCCTATTTTTTCTATTTTAATTATACAAGTTAATATGTAGATACACTCGCGATGTAAAAGATTTGAATATATGAGCAAATTCTGGGGGGGGAGGCAAAAGTAGATTTACATTTGTTCGTATAGAAAATACTACAATAACTAATAAATAATAATACAAGATAAACTGTGTTTACGTACTCAGAACTGTAAACCTACTCTTGCCCCTACTGTGTACAGTCCTTACTGATGGAACACTCACATTGTGACCATTTATTCACTATCATAAACAATGCTACAATGAACATAATAGTATGTACATCTTGTAAAATATATTTAAGAGGATTCCTAATAGAGAAATTGTTGTTTAAGTATTTAAAATACTTACAGATCCCACTAAATTGTTCTCCAAAAGCTTTACTAAATTATGATCCCTTCAAGTGTGAATGTGTCTGTTTTTCCCCATCCCCACCAATACTAGTTATTATAAATACTTTCTGTCAATAGGATCAGCTAATAAAACTGTTTTTAAATGTCTTTATTGTATTTTTTAGAGAGAGAAGAAGAGAGAGATAGAAACATTGATGTGAGAGAGAATCATCCATTGGCTGCTTCCTGCACGCCCTCTACTGGGGATCCAGCCTGCAACATGGGCATGTGCCCTGACCAGGAATCAAACCAGGACCTCTCAGTCCATGGGATGACAATCTACCAAGCCACACTGGCCGGGCTAAAACTTTGTTTTTAAGATCTGCATTTAGCCCTGGCCAGTTTGGCTCAGCAGTTAGAGCGTTGGCCTGTGGTCCGGAGAGACCCGGGTTCGGTTACCGCTAAGGGCATGTACCTCAGTTGCAGTTTGTCCCCGGCCCTGGTTGGGTCGTGCAGGTGGCAGCCACTTGATGTGTCCCTTTCACATTGATGTTTCTCTCCTTCCCACTCTATCTGAACAAAAAATGGAAAAATGTCCTCAGGTGAGGATAAAAAATTTCAGTGATGGAGAATATATTTACATTTCCCTATTTTTGGAGAATACTTTGTTTACTTTTCAACTGGGCTGTTTGCTTTACTGAATTCTAGGTACTTTTTTTTTTATCCTCACCGGAGGACGTTTTTCCATTTTTTGTTCAGATAGAGCGGGAGGGAGAGAGAGGAAGAGAGAGAGAGAGAGAGAGAAACATCGATGTGAAGGGACACATGGAGTGGCTGCCACCCGCACGACCAACCAGGGCCGGGGACAAACTGCAACCGAGGTACGTGCCCTTAGCGGGAACCGAACCCAGGTCTCTCTGTACCGCAGGCTGACACTCCAACCGCTGAGCCAAACCGGCCAGGGCCTAGGTACTTTTTATTTGCTGCAGATAGTAATCCTTCATGTTACATATATCATGAATAGGTAATATCTACTTTTTTTTTTTTTTTAATCCTCACCTGAGGATATTTTTCAATTTATCTTCAGACAAAGCGGGAGGGAGAGGGAGAGAAAGGAAGAGAGAGAGAAACACCGATGTGAGAGGGACACAATGATTGGTTGCCTCCCACACAACCCAACCAGGGTCAGGGACAAACGACAACTGAGATATGTGCCCTTCGCCAGAATTGAACCCGAGACTCATTGGTCTGCAGGCTGATGCTCTACCAGTGAGCCAAACCAGCCAGGGCTCTACTTCATCTTTCAATTTTTTTTTTTAATCCTCACCCGAGGATATTTTTCCATTTTTTGTACAGATAGAGTGGGAGGGAGAGAGAGGAAGGGAGAGAGAGAGAGAAACATCGACGTGAATGGACACATCGAGTGGATGCCACCCGCACGACCAACCAGGGCCGGGGACAAACTGCAACCGAAGTACGTGCCCTTAGCGGGAACCGAACCTGGGTCTCTCCGGACCGCAGGCCGACGCTCTAACCGCTGAACCAAACTGGCCAGGGCTCTACTTCATCTTTAAAGATTCAACTCAACTAAATCCCTTCCCTTCTTGAGATTCTTTTGTTTTGTTTTGTTTATCCTTACCCGAGGACATTTTTCCACTTTTTGTTCAGATAGAGTGGGAGAAAGAGGAAGAGAGAGAGAAACATCGACATGAAAGGGACACACTGAGTGGCTGCCACCTGCACGACCAACCAGGGCAGGGGACAAACTGCAACCAAGGTACGCACCCTTAGTGGGAACCAAACCCAGGTCTCTCTGGACTGCAAACCGACACTCTAACTGCTAAGCCAAACCGGCCAGGGCCCTTCTTGAGATTCTTGCTGAGAACTCCAGCCCCCACTATTCCTTCTGATGACCCACACACTGAGCACACAGATTCATACACACAGACACAGTCAGCCCCTTCTGCTATAAGGCTGAAATTGGATTTTATTGATCTTCAAACTGGTTTTCCTATCTTCTCCCCTCTTTTCTCTCTCTCCTCCCTAAATACTAACACAAAGGTAGTTAGGGCCTACTACACTTCAGATTTGTGCTTCCAACTTAAATAGATACTAAATAAAATATGAGATGTGTGTGATACACACACAGGAAACACTACTGATGATGACAGTATATGTCCCTTTGCATTCCAGCTTCTACAACAAGGGTCACTCTCCCTACTCCCTTCCCACTCCCAATGCCTTACAGGGCTAAGCAGAAAGTAAAAGAATGGGTAATGTAATTCCATGGAAGCAAAATGAAAAGTGGTGGCAACTTATGAGCCAGAGAACACACCATCTAAGAGACACCATACTCAGCTCCAGCAAATTGTTGCCAAGTAGGAATATAAGCTCCATGTTGACAGCTTCTCTATTTTTCAAAATCAGAAAATCTGTCTTTTATGTTAAATGTACTTTTTTAAAAAAATGCTTACCAGAGGATACTTTTGCATTTATCTTCATATAGAGTGGAAGAGAGGGGGGTGGAGTGAGAGAACATCGATGTGAGAGAGACACATGGTTTGGTTGCCTCCCACACAACCCCAACCAGGGCCGGGGACCAAACCACAACCAAGGTACGTGCCCTTGACCAGAACTGAAACCACGACTCTTTGGTCTGCGGGCCGATGCTTTAACCACTGAGCAAAACTGGCCAGGGCTTAAATGGACTTTTTTTTTTTTATCATCACTTGAGGACATTTTTCCATTTTTTGTTCAGATAGAGTGGGAGGAAGAGAGAGAGAAACATCAACGTGAAAGGGACACATCGAGTGGCTGCCACCTGCATGACCAACCAGGGCTGTGGACAAACTGTAACTGAAGTATGCGCCCCTAGCGGGAATCGAACCTGGGTCTCTCTGGACCACAGGCCGACGCTCTAACCACTGAGCCGAACCGACCAGGGCTGGATTTTTTTTAATCCTCACCTCAGGACACCTTTTTCTGCATTTATCTTGAGATAGAGTGGGAGGGAGAGAGGGAGGAAGAGAGAGAGAGAGAAACATCGATGTGAGAGACACATCGAGTGGTTGCCACCCACATGATCCCAACCAGGGCTGGGCACAAACAGCAACCAAGGTATGTGCCCTTAGTGGGAACCAAATCCGGGCCTCTCTGGTCTGCCGGCCGATGCTCTAACCACTTAGCAAACCGGCCAGGGCCTTAAATGTACTTTTAAAATGTCAAGCCAACATGTGTGCTTGTTGGTCTAGGAGTGTGTTGAGGTCAGACTCTACATCTGTTAATTCAACAGACTTTGGTATATAAGAGTCACTCAATGTTTGTTTCCACATTTGCTTTCTTCCTTCCATTAGACTGAAACATCCAGAACAATTTAACAAAGATAAAGTCATTTATATCATCATCAGGAACTATTTGGTTGTTCCAGTGCTGTTTTATTCCTGTCTCTCAAACTAAACAATGGTAAGGCAGAGATCATATTTTGTCACATCAATTTCCAATAGTACCTGGCACATGAGAAGGTCTGAGAAAAACCTGTTGTTAAACCAATGACTGAATAAATGAAGACCTGATTAGGTATCCAATTTACCTTTAGATTGTGAATTTACTTCTAAAATGCAATGTCCATGTAATAAGCTCAGTACTTGGCACACTGAGGATATAGGGTAGAAGCCCACTCTGTTTCACATGGCAAATATTGGTCAACATTTAATATTTGTGGAACAAGATGAGTGAGAATGTGCTAGCTCCTTCTGTATGACAGTCATGTCCAAACCGCTGGCTGCCTGGCTCTCAACCCCAATTCCAAAGACACTTCTGGAGTTTTATACCTCTTGGCCCACACTTCCACTGTTTAGGATTTCTTTGGGTGCTAGTTTCTGCAGGCCATCCTCTGGGGATAGATGGTTTGGGGTCTCAACTGTGGGTACTGTCTTGCTCTTTCCTCTTCTGCAGCTCCTCCCGCCGCCTTGCCTGCTGTTCACTCATGCAGTCCCTGAAGGCCTGCACCTGTGGCTGGCACAGTCTCCAGTCCTGGTGCTGGGCCATGCACTCCTGCACTGCATAGTGGGAAGCTGCACAGCCAGAGCGGGAGATCAGTTGGTCCAGTGGGTCCTCTTCTTCACCCTTCTTCACCTGACGAGCCCAGGTATGGCCTTGAGTTGACATCTTTGGGAGTCTCTAGACATCAATGGAGGCAAGGTTAGAGTAGGAACATTATCATATGAGGTTCCTCTACTGTAAATAACACTGACCACTGCACTGTTATAGCCTATTTATGCATATGTCTCTCTGGAGACTAAGCTATTTGAAGACGGATAATGGGCCTGATTCAGCTTGGTGCCCTCAGCACTAGGCCTAGTAAAGAGCAGGACTACAAAATGATTTGAACTACAGTTGGCCCTCGTTTATCATGGTTAATCAGTTCCAGACTCTACTGCAATAAGTGAATTTTCGTGAAGTAGGATTCTTTATTTATATACAGTCGTCCCTCACCACTTCGCGCTTCGACTTTCACGGGTTAAATTGCAACAGAGTGAAGCCAAGAAAGTCGAAGCGTGAAGTGGTGAGGGACGGCTATATATGGAATGAGATAAAGTGAGAATGCTTAGAACAATACTAAATAAGCTTGAATGTATTCTGCTAATGGAATCTGAATTAGGTGAAATGTCACCTTACTGGAGAAGCTATCTCTGCTTCACCTCAAAAGAATGAATCTCTCTTCTCTTCTAATATTGGCCTTATTCTATGGTTGGGAAAGAACAAAGTTTAACACTTGGGAGAGTACCCAACTATGAGTAGGGTTTGACATATGGGAGGAATGGAGACAGTTGTGTGGCTGTAACATACAGCCTGTAGCAGCCAGGGCAAAAGATGGGTCTGTGAGGTAATTAACAAGTACTTAATGTGAGATGTATTTGCCCAAACTTCTTCATCAGTTTCACAACATCGAGCAGAAGGTAGCATACAGACAGAACTTAAGAAGGACTTGAGGAGAAATGATTTCAGCCTTTGTACAAATTTCACCATGACAGGCTGTAAAGAAACTAGACTCCTTAATGTCTTTCCTGTGTCTCTGACTTATTCAACAAAATGATCATTGAGTACCTATCACGTACCAGGCACTATGCTAGAGTTGAGGATACAGGAGTGACCTGGAGAGATATAGTTACTGTTTTCACAGACTTTACAATCTAGACAGGTAAACAGGCAGTAAACTGTGTACAGATAGCTCAGATTGGGAACACAGTGGAGTGATACCCAATCCAGACTAGGGTAGAAATAGGCAGGGAAAGTTTCCTGGAGGAAGTGATTTCTAAGCTGACACTTGAAGAATGAATAGATAAAAGAAAAAAGAAAGAATGAATAGGAGTTAGCCAGACATGGAAAGGAAGACTATCCCTGTCAATGGAAGAGTAGAGTGGGGGGTTGAAACAGAATTTGATACATGAGAGGAACGGAAAGTTCTGTATGGCTAGAGAATAGAGTATAAGGAGAAAACAAAACAAATGAAACTGGCAAGATGAGAAAGTATCTGATCACAGCCAGGCCTTGTTAGTCACATTAGGGCGTTTAGAGGGCAATGGGGGAAGTGACCAGGATTTAAGCACTCCACAGCCCTCCATAAAACTCATTTGCTTTGGGGGCAGTATAACCTAAGGAAGGGGGAAATGGGCTTTAAACAGACGTGGGTTGGAAACTTGCTTTGTCACTGACATATTGGATGACTTTGAGCAAATCATTTCATAATCTCTCTTGAAAAATGAGATAATATATGCCCCACAGGATTGTTAAAGACTAATGAGATAACTAACGCACGTAAGGAGCCTAGCACGTCCAAAGGGTTCAATAAATGATAGTTCCTATCACTGTACTTGTTTCCTCTTTCTGAATACACTGTGAGCTCTTTAAAGCCAAGGGGCAAACCTCAGAGCAAGTTCAAGGGAAAGAAAAGTCACAGACTTTTTCAGTTTCCTCCTTAAGGTAATATTTAACTCGCAGAATTACTGTAAGGATTAAAATAATGATACCAAATGCTTTCGTACTCTTTTCCCCACCACATCCCGGCTTCAGTCTCCCTTGGGGTAAAAAGTGGAAGAAGGCCTTGCTCAGAGATTAGCGCAGGCTAGATGGTCGGCACCTGGAATGGAGGCCTGCCTGGCCCAGGAAGGCATGGGAAGAATGGGAAAGCAGAGAAATACAGGCGGCCAAATCACCGGAGGCTCCTCTCCCACCTTCAGAAGGCGCAGGCGCGCCCCGGCTGTGCCCGTCACGCTTCACCGAGCAAGGACGCGGCACGCAGCGCTCACCAAACGGGCGGACCAGAGGACCCGAACGCGCGCTCCAGCACGTCGGTTTTACATGCATGCAGTTGGAACTCTTCAGACCCTCTTGCCAGGAACCTGTGAGGGGCGCGCGCGGAGAGGTGGAGGGGACGAAGAGGAAGGGAACCACTGCGCATTTTCATTGGTGGCCTGTTGGTATAGACTCGCCACAGCCCTCTCTGAGGATACACTTCCGGGAAAGAGCGGAAGAGGCGGGCTGGTGGAGGTGGGGTCAAGATGGCGGCGCCTTTGAGGATTCAGAGCGACTGGGCCCAAGCCCTCAGGTGAATCCAGTGGTAGAACCGGGACAGAGGAGGCGGTTAGTGGATGTTGCCTTTCCGTTGAGAGCCATGCCCGATCCAGGATATTCATAGGCGTTACTTCATCAGTTTCTGGGTCTAGAAAAAGAAGTCTCAAACCCACATGGTCATTGTTTTTCATTCTCAGAAGAGCTATCGTGAAGTTAAGGGAACATATAGGCGCTGTTTGATCCCAGCATCAGAACTAGGATCAGTGAGTTGGAAAAAGACAGGAAAACTGGGAGGCAAGAGGCCGAGTAGATACAGTCATTTAGCAGGTATTTATTGGTCATCAGCTATTTGCGCAAGTCCCAGTGCTCACCACCACCACACTGTCTTTGAATATGTTTGCCACTTTGGAGCATTCTATTCAGTAAACCATGTAGCACCTACCATGCCCAAACTCTGACTCAGATAGATGCTCTGTGCTGTTAAGATGCAAACGTGTACTCTAAAATGAAGGGGTGGTTCCTTCCCTCAAGCTGACAGTTTAATTAGGAATGCACAGCTAACCGTTCATTTATTTAACATATATTTATTTCTCTAGTACCAAGATGAGGACAGCAGTGTCATGAATGGCAGCCATTATTACTAATAAGAGTTTTTCAAATTGAATCAGTGGTGAAGATGAATAACATTGCTGCATTTAAGAAACACCTAAGTGGGCTAAAATAAAATAACACATTACTTACTACAACATAGTATGTGTGATAGTAAAGGAAGAACACTAACATTTATTTAGGGCCACCAGATACCTATGAGGGAATGGAGGATCAGAATCAGTGGAGGTAACTTGCCCAAGATTGTGCAACAAATAAATGATAGAGAGTTGCTGGCAACCTAAAAGCCTAGGCCCTTTCTATTATACCCCAAAATGAGATAACAATTTGAATGATTGGGGAAGTGTATTCTAAAACATGAAAAAAGTCTGCAATGAGATAGAACATAGATCTTGTATACTAGTCCCAGGTTTCAATTCCTGCTTCATAGCTAAGTGACCTTGGGCAAGTCACTTCTCTCTGAGCTTCAGTTTTTTATCTTTTTTTAAAAACTCACCCGAGGATATTTTTTCATTTGTTTTCAGATTGAATGGGAGGGAGGGGTAGAGAGACAGCAAGAGAAAGAGAAACACTGATGGGAGAGAGACACATCGACTGGTTATGTCCCACACAACCCCGACCATTAAACATTTAATCCATAAATATTTCTTCGACAAATAAACAAAATTTGTCTTAGAAGAATCTATGCCTAGGTGAGATATTACTCTAGATCATGTCTATGTACTACAGCCAAACTGGAAATTATGTGATCTTTATTCCCTAGTATCAGTGGCATCCTTTTCAGTGTTGAGTGAGCCTAATTAGGCTTTTTCTCTCTTCATAGGAAGGATGAAGGGGAGGCCTGGCTGAGCTGTCACCCTCCAGGTAATGTCCTTAAATGTATATGCATTCCATTTACAGAAGCATTTACTACCCCTAGAAGAAGGCTTCCTGGACCAGATTCCTTGCACAGTGCTCACAGACCTCAAACCTGCTTGACGTGTCTGTGCTGTACAGCTATCACCCCAACTCTCTATTCAAGGGAACACAAGATTGGCTTTCCATTTGGAAGCCATAAACTTTTTCATAGGATGCTGATACATCTTTTGTTTGTTTAATTTTTTGTTTGTTTAATATTTTTCCACTGATTTTTTAATTCATTTTTAGAGAGAGAGGAAGGGAGAGGGAGAGAGAGATAGAGATAGAAACACTGATGAGAGAGAACATATATTGGCCTCCTCCTGCATGCCCCACACTGAGATTGGGCCCACAACCTGGGCACGTGCCCTGAGTAGGAATCAAACTGGTAACCTTTTGGTGTACGGGTTGATGCTCAACCATTGAGCCACACTGGCCAGGCTCCACTGATTTTTAGATAGAGTAGAAGGGATGGAGGATGTGGGGTGGGGGGTAGAGAGAGACATCAATGTGAGAGAGACACATCGATACAGCTGATGCATCTTAAACAGCCTCTTGGCCATATATTATTGTATTCTAAGCCGTTCTGTAGCTTCAAGTGTGACCTTTCTGATTGATGAATCCTAGATCTAAAGCTCTAGCCCTGACCTCGCTTCAGCTTCAAGCAGTTGTATGCTAGCTGTTTCTACTTGAAGCTCTCATTGTCATCTTGTTTATCACATCTTAAACCAAACTGAGCACGTCTGTCATTAAATAGATTATCTTTCTTAATTTTCTCATTTCTTAAATTACCATCATTCTAGGCATCAGATTGTAAAACCTAGTCACTTCACCCTGCCATATCCAGAGTTCCCAAGTCTTTTCAATTATTCCTTTGAATAACACTCCTATGTTATTTCCATTCATTCATTTGCAGTTAGTGTGGTAATGCTTTAAAAATATATTTCTAAGTTTGTGAGAAAGTTTTATTTTACTGATTTTTCATTTCAAATAACTTTGATGTCTTTATATAATAATATATTCTAGTTCTGTGAGAACTAGTTTTAAACAGAGTTTTCTTTATTTCTTTTTTTTTTTTTTAATCCTCACCTGAGGATACTTTTTTCCATTTTTTTCTTCAGATAGAGTGGGAGAGGGAGAGAGAGACAGAGAGAGAAACATCAGCACAAGAGATAACACATTGATTGGTTGCCTCCCGCATGACCCCAACCAGGGCCAGGGACCGAACTGCAACTGAGATACATGCCCTTGACCAGAATTGAACCCAGGACTCTGGCTGATGCTCTACTGCTGAGCCAAACCATCCAGGGCAAAACAGAGTTTTCTTTTGAGGAAATTGGTGCCACATAAAAGTAGAGAGAATGGTAGCTAGAAGGTCTTAATCAAAGTTTTTGTTTTTAAAGATGAGAATAATTGGAGAACAATTAAAATATAGGTTATACATAGAGGAAAGAAGGACTAACTTTAAAAAAAACAATGTCTTAGAGGACAGAGAAGGAGACTGAATTAAGTAAAAAAGATTAGATGAAAGAAGGTGAGGTTAAGTACAGATACAGATAAATACATAGGCATGAACATGGAAATTTGAGAGTATCTTAAAGTCTTAGTTTTATTGTTACTGTTTTGGGATGTTGGAGGTAGGGTCAGCTCTTAAGTAAGAGGCTTTTTGGGTTTTTAAAATTTTATTGAATTACAGTGTGTGCTATCTATATGCTAGATGCTTTAAATTACATTATTTCTTACAACCCTATGAGGCAGGTATTAGTATTCTAATTTTTTAAATAACAGCTTTATTGAGGTATAATTTATATACCATAAGGTTGACCTTTTTAAAGTGTAAATTTAGTGGATTTTAGTATATTGACAGAGTTGTGTGTCTGTCACCATTGTCCAATTTCAGAGCATTTTCATCATCCCTAAAAGAAACCCTATACTCTTTAACAGTAATTACCCATTTACCCTTCCTTCTAGCCACTAGTTGACTTTCTGTCACTATGGATTTGCCTATTGTGGACATTTTATATAAATGGAATTATATAATATATGGCTTTTTGTGTCTGTCTGACTTTTATTCAGCATAACATTTAGGGTTCATCCATTTTTGTGGCAATCATTTCTTTTTGTAGCCAAGTAATATTCTATTGTATGAATATACCACTTTTTTTTTTTTTATCCTCACCGAGGACATTTTTCCATATTTTGTTCAGAGAGAGAGAGAGAGAAACATCGAGTGGTTGCCACCCGCACAACCCAGCCTGGGCTGGAGACAAACTGCAACTGAGGTACATGCCTTTAGCGGGAACCGAACCCGGGTGTCTCTGGACCGCAGGCCGATGCTCTAACCACTGGGCCAAACCAGCCAGGGCTATACCACATTATTATCCATTCATAAATTGATGGACATTTGAGTTGTTTACACTTTTTGGCTATTATGAAGGTTTGTTTTTTATTTTATAGTCCTCATCTGAGGATATTTTTCCATTTATCTTTAGATAGAGTAGGAGGGGGGAGAGAGAAAGAAACATCGATTGACTGCCTCCTGCACGACCCCAACCGGGGCCCGAACTGCAACCAAGGTACATACTCTTTACCAGAATCAAACCCACAGCTCCTCAGTCCACAGGCCAATGCTCCAACCACTGGGCGAAACTGGCCAGGGCTGAAGGAATAAGGTTTTGATGATAGAATAGGTGTCATGAGAATTGGCTCTATAGTGATTGGAAAGGGCAAATGGACTGCAAAACTGCAGAGTTTGGGAACATGAACTATGGTGGTGCCAATCTGCACAATTTCGTGCTTTTCTGTGGCAGCACTTAGCAGTCTGTATGTAGAAATCTAGAAGGTGAGTAGTTGGATTAATCACAATTATTTTTATTTATTTATTTTTAATTAATTAATTAATTTTTTTATCCTCACCCAAGGACATTTTCCCATTTTTTGTTCAGATAGAGTGGGAGGGAGAGAGAGGAAGAGAGAGAGAGAAACATCGATGTGAAAGGTACACGAGTGGCTGCCACCCGCACAACCCAACCAGGGCCAGGGACATACTGCAACTGGGATATGTGCCCTTAGCAGGAACCAAACCTGGGTCTCTCTGGACCACAGGCTGACGCTCTAACCGCTGAGCCAAACTGGCCAGGGCAATTTTTTTAAAAAATATTTTTCTTTATTGATTTTTAGAGACGAAGGAAGAGGGAGAGAGAGATAGAAACATTGATGAGAGAAAACATCGATTGGTCGCCTCCTGCATGCCCCTCACTGGGGCATTTTAACACCACATCCTGGGCATGTGCCCTGACAGGGAATCAAACTGGTGACCTTTTGGTGCATGGGTCGACGCTCAACCACCGAGCCACACCGGCCGGGCTGCAATTCTTTTACAGAGACAAGACAGACAATTTCATTGACTTTACAAATGTAGAGAGGTCATTGAGGGTGCTGACAGGAGATTGATTGAAATCCTATACAGTGAGGGCCAGACCTCATAGGGCAGTTAGTGAAGCCAGGAGGACTTCATGGAGTAGGACAAAAAGCAGAATTTCTCAATCCTATTTTTGTGGCATTTTTCTTTCGTGTGTGTGTGTGTGTGTGTGTGTGTGTATGTGTGTGTGTGTGTGTTGGGGGGGCATCTTTCTGAACTAGCATTTGGTGCCACTTCTTTGCCAAAAGCTTCTTCACTAGATCTTCTCTAGACTATATTTCTATCCTAGATTTTGAGTTCCTCCATTAATGTCCTTCAGCTGCCTTTTTCATGACTGGTATATTAATTGATGCCTCCTTTCTCCTTGTTCTTTCTGACTTCTTTTGTTCTTGAAATGCCCCCTCCCTGACTTGGAGTTTCCTTTCCTTTATTTTCTACCTAGTCCTACCTGTCTTTTATTTCTTTTTAAATATCTTTTTATTGATTTCTTTAGAGAGAGAGGAAGGGAGAGAGAGAAACATCAGTGTGAGAGAAAAACATCAATCGGCTACCCCCTGCACACTCCCCCACCAGGGTTTGAACCTGCAACCCGTGCATGTGCCCTGACCGAGAATCGAAGCAGGACCTCTCATTCCATGGGGCGATGCTCAGTCCACTGAGCCACACCAGCTGGGTTGTCTTTCTTTCAGGGTCCTACCCTCTCTAGGAAGCGTACCCACTCTGAATCTATGATGGTTTTTACTTCCTTTTTACTCCGAGAATTTCAATTTGGTGCCATCTGTTATTTACAGAATAATTTATAGCAACCTGCTAGTTTCTGAACTCTAGGACTTCACAGTCCATTGGGAGGTCAGAAATGTAAACAGTGTGTTATGGGCGGTTTCAAAGTGTATATATAAGGTATAGAAGGGGACTAGAAGATAATGTTTTTAACTCCATTCTACCATCTGTATATACTTATATATAGGGTAATATTTAGCCAGTATCACTGCAAAAGCAGTGTTCTACTTAAGTACATTTTCCAGATTAATGTGGGTTAGCTCTTTACTATGTATTGTATGTGTATACTGTGGATAAATGCATAGATTCATGTTAATCTTTTCCTTTTATCCTGGAAGAATGCCATTTCACAGCCAGTAAAACTGAGGTTCAGATCACTTCAGTAGCTTTCCCTACAAATACTATAGTGTATCTCCAAAGTTTGTAGCCCTTGAGTGTATTCCCTCCTGAATTAGGTTTGCTTAGGCTAGTATTCTTTCCACTTTGCCTCATTTTTAACACCAGTACCTGTTTTTCTTTCATAAACCAATTTCCTGCCATCTATACAGATGTCTGAATTGGGTCTTCAAGGAGAAAAATATTAAATTCTTCTTATTTTTTGAGACATACTTATTTTGTGCTATATAGGGAAACCTACTTTGTATGGCAGCCTGACTTGTCAAGGAACTGGCCTTGATGGCATCCCAGAGGTTACAGCTTCGGAAGGATTTATTGTGAATGAAATAAACAAGGTAGGTTTTTATGTCTTCTAGATGGTACTGTGTCTTTACATATATAGTAGTACCTATATATCTATTTTAAATATTTATACTGTTCTTTGTGTATCAGTGTCATCTCCATTTCATTTGTACAATAATCACAGTTTTTACGGCCTTCGAATGTCAAAGTTTTTCTTTTGTGGTTACATATACTTTTAAAAAAAATTTTTTTCCTTTTATTGTTTTTTTTTTTTTTTAGAGAGAGAGGAAGTGAGAGGGAGAGATAGATAGAAACATCAATGAGAGAGAACATTGGTTGGTCGCCTCCTGCATGCCGCCCACTGGGGATCGGGTCCATAACCTGGGCATGTGTCCTGACTGGGACCGAACCAGCGACCTCTTGGTGCATGGGTCAACACTCAACCACTGAGCCACACCAGCTGGACATTACATATACTTTCAGATGTAGTGAAACTTCCTCTTCCCTTTTACCAGTGCTTTCCAACAGATAAATAATGTGAGCCACATATATAATTTTATTTTATTTTATATTTTATTTTGGAGGAAAAAGGGGAAAGAAAGAAGTTGTAAATGAAGAGAGAGGTAGAAAGAGGAAGAGGAGAAATGCTGGGAGAAAGGAATGGGACACGAAGGGTTGGGAGGAGAGAGGTGGAGGGAGAGGCAGTGCAGAGGAAGAAGAGGAAGAGGAGGTGGCAGAGGTGTGGAAGAGGAGGAGAGAGGAGACCACATATATAATTTAAAATTTTGTAGTAGCCACAGAAGAAACAAGTGAAATTAATTTTAATATTTTCCAGAAGCTCAGTATCATCAGTCTATATCCTATAAAGGTTCCCTTTGGGTTGTGGTTGGGGTGGTGGGGTTGGATGGGGATATATATATATGTGTGTGTGTGTGTGTGTGTGTATTTTTTTTACATTTATTTTTTCTTTAGTTCTCATCTGAGGATATTTTTTTCCATTGATTTTTAAAGAGAGTGGAAAGGAAGGAAAGATCGGGGGGGGAGAGAGAGAGAGAAAGAAAGAGAGAAACATTGATGTGAGAGAGACACATCAATTGGTTGCCTCTAGCATGCGCCTTGACCAGGGCCAGGATTGAACCTGCAACCCAGGTATGTGCCCTTGACCAGGAATCAAACCAGCAGCCCTTCGGTGTACAGGCCATTACCTCTTTTTCTGTTATTAAGTCTTTGAGATACTATGTATTTTTATTTTACATTTAAAGCACATCTCAATTCAGACTCTAATTTTTTTATTGGAAATACTTGATATGTATTTAAATTTTATAAAATTTATAGTTGAAAACATGGATTCACATATTTAAAAAGTTTTCTAATAATCAAGTATCAAGTTTTAAATAAAATTTAAAAATCAATTTTTTGTTTGCATTAGCCACATTTTAAGTGCTCAATTACTTTATGTGGCGAGTTTCTACCATATTGTACAGCATAGCATTATAATAGGTCTGGTCAGGCCTTGGTGAAAACCTGGCCTTCACCAAGTTACTTAGTTTTTCTCATTGGTCTTTGAGGTGAGTAGATGGCTAAACTAAGTGTTGCAGAACCCATGATCTGACTTTCCTTACTCGTTCTGGTGGCTGCAGTCAGTATGCTCTGGTGAGATGATCTCCAAAGGGTAAACTAGCCTTTCTTTTCCTTTTCCTTTTTTTTTTTTTAATGTAATTAAACTTTTTTAGTTGTAAAATATTTCTGATATACTGACAAGAACAGATAATACTTTGTTTTTGCTCTGGCTGGTTTGGTTCAGTGATTAGAGTGTTAGCCCGTGGACTGAAGGGTTGTGGGTTTGATTCCTGGTCAAGGGCACATACCTGGGTTGCAGGTTCCATCCCTGGCTGCAGTCAGGGTCATGCAGGAGGCAGCCAAATGATGCGTCTCTCATACATTGATGTCTGTCTGTCTGTCTGTTTCTCTCTTCCTCCCTCCTTTCTCCCTCCCTCCCTCCTTCCGCCCTCCCTTCCTTCTACTCTATCTAAAAATTAATGGAAAAATATCCTCAGATAAGGATTAACGACAACAAAAAAAACTTTGTTTTTTACATAAGATAGTTAGCAAATGTTCGTTCATTACCTTCTGTGCAAGATCATAGGCTACATGTTATTATATATCTTACATTTGTTTTTCATAAACAGCTATGGAATTGTAGAAGGTGTCAGAAGATCAAATCCAGCTCATAGTTAACTTTGACACTTACTAGCAATATGATTTTGGACAAACTCATAAACAGACAGTATAGTGATTACCAGAGGGAAAGGGGTGTGAAAGGATGTAGAAAACGGTCAAAGGTGAATAAATGGTGATAGAAGGAGACTTGACTTGGGGTGGTGAACTCAATACAGTGTACAGAAAATGTATTATAGAATTGTACACCTGAAACCTATATAATTTTATTAATGTCACACCAATAAATTCAATAAAAAAATATTATTTTAGATGAATAACTTATTTTCCTGAGCCTCAGTTTCCTCATCTATAAAAGAGAAAATATTCTACCTCATAGGCTGGTTAGTGGGGAGTGAGACTGCATATGAATGAAACTGTAGAATATTACAAAAATGAGTTATTGTTGTTTATCATAATAGTCTTTTGGGGTTGACATTTTAAATTTCCATTTTGCAGATAAACAGACTCGGAAAAGTTCATTAACCCCTAATAATCAAAGCTAGTTAGACTGTCACAATTGAAACCCAGTTCTATTAACTTCAAGTATAACACTACCTTGCAAGCCTACATTTTTCCCAGGTGTTTCACTGGTATCCATCCATAGCCCGGGTGCTGACTTCCTTTCTTCCCTTCATACTCAGGCCCTGATACAATTCTTATCTTCCAACATCATTGCTAATTTCTGCTGTGTACCTGCGGGGTCAGACAGTAAGTGCTTATGGTTGAGCATTCATTTGTTTCCTAACTGCCATGAGTCACTTTGCTATTTGATGTTGCTACATTTTTCTTTTAAACAGATCTGTCAGTATGCTTAAAACCCTAACCCTTAAAGATAAAAAAATCTGACTTTGAATTTTACCTTAGTGTGGAATACTCACACTGCTCCCTCCAACCCCTCATCCTGAAATTCTGTCTGTTTTGATAGCTCCTGCAGCTTTTGTTTAAAATATTTTCATTAACAGCATGTATCTCTACTGCTGACATTGGAAGGTAGTTCAATGTTGATCTTCCTTCATAATCTGTTTATGGATTAAAGGTTAATTTGCAGGATTGATAAACAGGAGAAAATCACTAACTCTTGAAATCTTTCATGTAATTAGCCCCAAAGAAATGAAGTCTTCTGAGAGCAAACCAATGCTTATAAGAGGCCTGAACACTAAGACCTCAGAGCCCCTTGCATTCTTGCTTGGTATGAATATTTAGCCAGGAGAGTTTAGCTGATGCTTCAATTTTAGGTATAGGAGACAATTCCAAATCCAGGTCAGCTCTCTGGCAGCTGTATGGGCTTTGTCATGCGGTTAGAATTAGAAGCAAAAACTCATTTAATGAAAGGCTTGCAAGCAGCCAGGCATGGATATGCTGGCTAAGAAAGTACTGTTTGTATAGATATTTTAATTGTTTTTTAAAGGAGTAGAAGAATGTAATAAAAGCATATTGGTTTTCAGTGATAAGAATATTATAACTTTGAAACTATTCTTTCTAAGGAACTGTGAGGACTGTGCTTGCTGTGTACATAGATTAGCCTTTTAAAGAGGTTCAGAAAATCTTGATTATTGAAGACATTTTTATTATCCAGCAGAACTTCCAGAAACTTTGAAATACTATTATGAAATAGATAACAGGTTAGGGGCTATTTGGTGAGTACAGCTCCTTAGCTCTGTATAGGAGATATGCACTGAGATGCTGGTGGTGGTCTGAGATGCTGGTGTTGGTATCCTGACGCTAGAGTAACGAATTGTCATGAATCCTCGAGGAAGGGTTTACTAAGCCTTTTATACCTCTACACATGCCACCTTGAAATACTAGCATACTTACTTGTAATGGTTACAAAGGGTGCCTTTAGCAAATAATGTCACCCTGAATCTTAACATCTGGTTCTAGGTATAATTTCCTACTGTGTCACTAGTGTTATCTTGCTACGGCAGCAATATGTGATAATGACTAGCAAAACTCATGGAGACTCATAATACAGCTATGGATGTGACTACAACCAGTTTAAGTCCGGATGGGAATGGGCACTGCAAGCCTAACCAGACCTTACACATTGTAAGAGTGTGCCATATTTACTTTACCAGTTTCCTCTGATAACTGTAGATGTCAGTAGTCTAACATTTTTTCTCTTAAGTTCTTATGGGTAGCAAGTTTACTTTTAGACTAGTCCTTTAGCCTAGGCTTGAGGGCTGGTGCTGTTTCCTCACATCTCTTGATTCTGTTCCTTGCCCCACTGCTAATTAAGAGTACTGGTATTAGATTTTCTTCTAAAAATGTATGTTCTCATGTTTGTCAGTTGTACCTAATTGTTGGTCTTCACTGGGGCAGTTTAACATAAAAAGATAATGGCATCTCAGTGATATAATTTTATTGCAGCCCCTGCAGTGAAAGGACTGCTGATCTATAAGGGAGTGACAGTTTTGTGGGCTAGGGAAGGAGGATTAGAGAGGATACACTTAAAAGAAAAGAATTTCCTGTTGTCCTAATGTTTTCTTTAAGAGGCTTTAATTCCATTGGAGTAGCTTTACTGATGTATTTCATCTTTCCCTCTGTTTAGAAAAGCATTCATATTTCATGTCCAAAGGAAAATGCATCTTCAAAGTTTTTGGCACCATACACTAATTTTTCCAGAATTCATACAAAGAGTGTAAGTATTTTGATAAAATGAGGATAAATGTAATACCATTATTTAATTTTCCGCTTTACTTATCTAGTGCTATAAACATTCATAATTAATGTGTCTTTTATTTGTATAATGATGTTTGGCAAAACTGGTACTTGGGACCACATAGAATATGTGTACAGATCTACTCACAGGTAATCTTAGAGAAAGGACTTTTGAAATGAAATTTTCTTATATGTTTTAGCAGAGCTACTTACTGGCTTTTGGATAATGATGGTAGTGGCTGACGTTTGCATAATGTGCCGCTTCTCATATTTTTGTTCTTTCACGTACAAGACAGGGACATTTTCTCAAAATTTCAAGTACAGCTTGTTGAGGAATAATTTTCAAAGGTCTTTGTGATAAAGCCCTTTCTACTACTATGGGCTTTTGAAAGCAGAAGTGAGAAATAGGTGGATAAACTGCCTTCCACTTTTTATTGTGTGATAGGTACATTTTAAAAAAATAACTCTTTTTTTCCCTTATTGCAAAACAAATATATATTTAGGGGTGAAAATTTAGTTAATATAAAACAAAGTGAATCACTCATTTTTCTATAACCTAAAGAAAACTGTGAACTTTTATTATATATTCTGAAAACTAAGTTGATTGCTTTTTGAAGACTTGGTAAAGAAGAGTTGTTTTGTTTTTTTAAATATGTTTATATTGATTTTTAGAGAGAGAAGAAGGGAGAGAGAAAAAGAAACAGAAACATTGATCGGCTGCCTCCTGCACGCCCCCTACCGAGGGTCAAGCCCACAACCCAGGTATGTGCCTGACCGGGAATGGAACCAGTGACCTCTTGGTGCATGGGATGGTGTCCAATTAATTGAGCCACAGGGAGAGTCTCTTTTTTTTCCCCAACTGGTGTTACAGTATGTGTGAGCAAGATAAATGGGAAATGTTAGGGAAAAGAATTTTAAAAACAACCCTACTTGAATTTTTGTTTATAGATTGCTTCGTAAGAGTAAATAAAGACTTGCCTTACTTCAAAGAAACTGGAAATTATAAATTGTGCTTTGGTTATAGTTTATTAAAAGAAAGTCAAGGTGAAGCTTCCTTATAATCAGTGGACTAATGAAAAAACTAGTGAATTTTAATGTACATTTATACATTTGTGTTAAAATAAAATATAGGTATTTATGCATCCTTTTTCATTATTTTTCTTTATCTGAAAATTTTGATTAATTGACCTATCGCTGGCCCTATCCATTGACTAAAAGTCTTTTACCAGTCTGACTTAACATACTCTGTCAATACTATGTATTAGAATTTTTAAGTTCTACCTATTTGAGAGATGGTATTTCATTTGCATTCCTTTGATTAATCGAGGATTTACCACTTTTTCATGTATTTATTATTTCTTGGTCATGCTTCATGTCATTTGCCCTTTTTTTTTTTCTTTATTGATCTTAGAGAGAGAGGAAGGGAAAAAGAGAGAGATAGAAACATGGATGAGAGAGAACATCGATTGGCCGCCTCCTGCATGCCCCCCACTGGGGATCGGGCCCACAACCTGGGCATGTACCCTGACCGGGAATTGAACTGGCGACCTCTTGGTGCATGGGTCGACACTCAACCACTGAGCCACTGGCCGGGCATTTTTGCCCATTTTTTAAGTGTGAATTTTTTCTTTATTAGTAAGAGTTCTTATATTAAGGATATTGATCTTTTGCTATGTATTTTGCAGATCATTTTTTCTGGTTCATTGTTTATTGTTGTTTGCTTAGGGTGTCTTTTGACATACAGATACTTAATATTTCTAGATAATAAAACCTATCAATTTAATCCTTTATGGTAACTGCCTTTTTAGTTTTGCTTAAGGTAGTTCATGTTTTTATATATATAATTACTTTTATTGCATAACATGATGGGTAAGAGCATTGACTCAAGTATTGGATTTGACTCCCAGGATTCAAATTTTGGTTCTGCCACTTACTAACTGTGCCCCTAGGCCACATACTTAACACCACGTGCCACAGGTTGCTTATCTGTAACATGGGGATAAAAATTTATCTCTTAGGGTTGTTCTAAGATTTGAAGCCATTAGGATTGGGTATGGAACATAGTAAGCACAATATAAGTTTTTGTTACTTAAAAATTTAAATATAGTATTTTCTCACCCTGGTCAGTGTGGTTCAGTTGATTGGAGCATTGTCCTATACATCAAAGGTGGTGGCTTTAATCCCTGTTCTGTTCAGGGCACGTGTGGGGGTGGCCAGTCGATGTCTCTCAACATTGATGTTTCTCTCTTCCTTCCTCTTTCTCAAACCAATCAACCAATCAATCAATAAGTCAATGTATTTTCTTTGAATTTTTATGTTTTATTTTTTACATTTTAAACTTTATTTTTGTTATTTGATTTGAAGTAGGGATCTAACACTTATTATTATTATTATTATTTTTTTTTATCCTTACCCGAGGACATTTTTACATTCATCTTCAGATAGGGCAAGAGGGAGAGAAGGGGGAAGAGAGAGAGAAACATCGATGTGAGAGAGACACATCGACTGGTTGCCACTCACATGACCCCAACCGGGGCCAGGGACAAACTGCAACCCAGGTATGTGCCCTTAGCGGAAACCGAACCCAGGTCTCTCTGGACCACGTGCTGGCACTTTAACTGCTGAGCCAAACCGGCCAGGACTCTAACAATTATTTTTGAAATGACTAGCATATCAGCACTATAAAGTAATTCACCCTTTATCTTACTGCCTTGAATTATCATCTTTATCCAGTATTTAGCATTGTCCCATTGCTCTGTTTTTTTTTGCTGTAACTAAGGAATAGATCTTTAGCTTTAAACTCTGACCTAAATTTCTGTCCTAGCTCTATTATGTCATGTTGGGGAAATTACTTAATCACTTCTTAAACCTCAAATTCCTCACTTGAAAAATAGATATAATACCTATATTACAGATTTTTGAGGGAATTTTATCCAGAGGGTAGTGTCTGTTACACTCCTGGCACAAAATACCTACTCAGGAATGTTAGTTCCCTTTCCTTTTTCTTTAATGAGAGTTTGGAGGCAGGAAACAGCTGGCATGACCTGTAATCTACTTCTCAGTGTTCCGTCACTTTGGAAGAAATAGATAATTCAGACTTAATTACTTTTTAGGTCTAGGAACTAGGGCCCCAAGGGTATGTAACACAGATAAATAACACGATATCCCTGTGGTCTCCAGGGACAGTATATTAAATGAGAGGATACAGTACAGAATATCAGAGTTTCTCAACCTTAACAACCTTGACACTATTGATCTTTAGAGCTGGGTAATTCTTTATGTAAAGGGGTTGTTCTAATGTACTGTAGGACATTTAGCAGCATCCCTGACCTCTACCTACAAGTTACCAGTGGGACACTGCCCCCAGTTGGGACAATTAAAAATGTTTCCAGACATCACCAAATGTCCCCTAGGAAGCAGATTTGCCCCTGGTTGACAGCCAGTACAATATATGAACACAGTGCTGAAGACTACTCGGAGAGGAAGTAATGAAATCCTCGGGAGAATTGGGAGAACCACTTATCTTATGAGAAGTAGGCTATTATTTTTAAAAATTATTAATCATGCCTCTTTTCTATTTCTTATTTTCCCTTTCTCTTATATGACCTAATTATTAGGTAATTTATGCATTTATTAATCACCTACTATATTCCAGGTACTCTTCTGGGCACTAGAGCTATAGCAGATAATAAAACTGTGGTATAGCCCTGACCGGTTTGGCTCAGCCATTAGAGCACTGGCCTGCGGTCCAGAGAGACCCGGATTTGGTTCCCGCTAAGGGCATGTACCTCGGTTGCAGTTTGTCCCCGGCCTTGGTTGGGTTGTGTGGGTGGCAACCACTCGATGTGTCCCTTTCACATCAATGTTTCTCTCTCTCTCTCTTCCTCTCTCTCCCTCCCACTCTATCTGAACAGTATATAAAAAAAAAAAAAAAAAGTCCTCGGGTAAGGATAAAAACAACAACTGTGGTATAGAGCTTACATTCTGGGTTGTGCCATCAGATAGGATTTGCTAGTGACTAGGATATGAGATGTGAGAGAAAATGAGTTGGGGTAATTCAAAAAATTTTGGCCTGAGCCCTGGCCGGTTTGGCTCAGCGGTTACAGCGTGGGCCTGCGGTTTGGAGAGATCAGGTTTGGTTCCTGCTAAGGGCGCGTACCTTGGTTGCAGTTTGTCCCTGGCCCTGGATGGGTTGTGTGGGTGGCAACCACTCAATGTGTCCCTTTCATGTCGATGTTTCTCTCTCTCTCTCTTCCTCTCTTTCCCTCCCACTCTATCTGAACAAAAAAATGGAAAAATGTCCTCGAGTGAGGATAAAAAAAAATTTTTTTTTTGGTTTGAGAAGTGGATAAACTGGTACCATTTACTAATTGGGGGACAAGTAAATTGTATTGATATGGAGCAGGGGGAAATAAGAATTCTGGTTTGTACATGTTAAGTTTGAGATGTCCACTCTATAGCCAAAAGTAGGTGCCTATCAGGCAGTTTAAAAGATGCCACCTGAGTTAGGAAAGAGTCTGAGCTATCTTGCTTTACAGATTACACTGATTTCAGAGTGAGTAGGAAAGTTTTAAAATAAATCTTATTTCTGGGGCCCTGCAAATGGGAACAGTAGCTGGTCTTGTTGCTATAGGTCAAATGGCTTTTACTTTCCTACTTAGTGTTGATGAGGTACTTCATCCTTATTCCCAAACTGCTGTCATTTGGTATTTGTTGAGTAGTTATTATGTATATAGCCTGTGATTTGTGTAAGACAGTGCTGTACATGGTTCTAACACTTACAGAGCTCATCATATAGTTGGGGAGCCAGACATAGGGTTGAAAGAAGTTAATTGATAGTATCAGTAGTCAGACTTAAGGCCTAGGATTAGGGTGGGAGCAGTGGTCCTGGAAAAGAAAGATAGATCTGAGAGATATGTCTCCTACACTAGAATGTGAAGGCAAGGCTATGTCAGATTTACTCCTGTATTCCCAGTGCCCAGCGATGGGAGGCTAGAGGCAGACTGGATTATTATGAGGATCCAATGATGTAATGTATTTGAAAGTGTTATATAAATGATAAAACATGATACAAATGTTTATTGTCATAATCCCTAAAATGAAATGTTTCGCAATTAAGTTAACAGTTCTTTTATTCTGAGAATCCAAAATGAAGAAGAAAATGTCTTAGAAAGTGTTAGAGTTGATATATCCCTTTAGTTCTTGTTAACACTATTCATTATGGCTTAATTGCCATAGAGCAAAGTAAAATGGAAGGTTGGACAATTAATGCCAAAGTCCCTACTTTTTCCTTAATGATTTAGGTATATGGGAATCGTTGCTGGGAATATGTCTGAGATTATATGTCTAAGTCTTACATTCCTGAAATATTTGCAACTGGGTGTTTTTTAATAAAAAGGGTATATATTTATGAATGTATATGAAAGAAACTTGGCATTCTGATTACGGCTTATTCATGAAGTGATTGCTCATACTGAAATTGCATAAGTAAATTTGGGAATTATCTTACTTATTCTGAAACACACACATACACCCCCCCACACACACACACAATTAGGATTTTATACAGAGGAAATGTTAAGTAGTAAATTGGAAACATCTTTGCTTTTCCTTGAATCCTTTTGGTGCCTTTTGGAAGGCTGTCTTTTGTATAAGTGAGTTCCTAAGAATTAGGAGAGGTATCTTAATTTTAAAATAAAATAGCAAAAGGATGGAAATGATAAGGGGATAGGGAAAACATTTTAGCTAAAGCAGGAGACTATACATGATTATAAGGATTATCCTTTTGTTTCGAGAAATAAAAGGTGTTGGCTCTAGCCTTGTTGGGAGATTGGTGATAAGTCAAACTTTACATGAAACATATATCCTTTGTGTTGGGATAAATCTAGAAAGAGTGTAAAACTAGAGAGGTTTATAACATATTTCAAGGAAAGAGGAGCATTTCATTATTATTTGTAACAGTGGTTGTTCTGTCTTTTGAACAGATAACATGCCTGGACATTTCCAGTGGAGGAGGCCTTGGTGTGTCTTCTAGTGCTGATGGGAGCATGAAAATCTGGCAGGCTTCCAATGGAGAGCTCAGAGTAAAGGCTTTAGATGCACTTTTAGGGTCTTATATATGAAGGGTGGTCTAAGAAACCTTAGACTGAGTCATGGAAAGAAGAGTGTCTCATTCTATAAATATAGTATCACTGCACTTCAGTTGATCTTTGTTCCATTTTTTAATTTGAGAAACATCCTCGAGCTTGGTGATTTGCAAGAACAAACTGGGGCTGGGACAGTGGAGGAGCCAGGCCAGTGAATGTCTAAGTGGGTGGTCCCTTGGTGTGAACTGCCTTCTGTGATCAGCTTCTAAGACAGAACAGCTAGGTTGTTACACTGATTATATGGTTTAGCCCTACAACCTGTAGCGGATTTTTAAGAAGGAGTGACTAAAAGAATCCTCGAGTCTCCTCAGCTTCTTATATGTAGAACTAGACTTAAGGATGGTTGTGAGAGCCATGGAGTTCAAATCCATACCTGTAGGTAGACAAAGCCAGAAAGGGAGTCTACAGCTCTTAGAACACTACCTGGCAGACAAATGAGCTAAACAGATCCATTGGATCTCCTTAGTTTTAAACTCAGCATGTGAATATAGTACATAGCTATTTCATTTAAGGGACCAGGATATGGGAGGTAAGAGAACATCAAGGGATGGACAAGAGAACTAGCCTGGAATTTTCTTTTGTTTTTCCAGAGAGTATTGGAAGGACATGTGTTTGATGTGAATTGTTGCAGGTTTTTCCCATCAGGCCTTGTGGTTCTGAGTGGGGGAATGGATGCCCAGCTGAAGATTTGGTCAGCTGAAGATGCTAGCTGTGTGGTGACCTTCAAAGGTCACAAAGGAGGTATGAACAGTGATTTTTTCCCAAAAGGCTTCTCTAATGATCTGCAGAGACAAATCACCAAAAAAGAAAAACAGAAGCTTATTTTCTACAGAAATACAAATAATTCATCCAACTGGCCATTTAAATGAGCTGCTGTTTCTCTAAGAATTAGAAATTCCTTTCCTATTCGGTCTGGTTATTACTATGTAGAACTAACTGCCTTACACAGATAGCTGTTTTTCACAATTGATAAGGGGAAAAAATTCTCAGGAAATCATCTCCTTGTGTGCGGGAAAGAGAGGGAACAGGAGGGAGGAAGGAGTGCACATTTTCTCATTATTAGTCCTTTGGCTGAGGTGATAGTGAAAGTAGGTGGCACATGGCTGCTTCACTACATATCAAAAATAGAGCATAGTACTAACTGTTGCTTCCATGGATTTAAATCACAATTCAGATTTTTTAAAATTATGCATATAACCAGTTGATATCAGATTATAGAGACAGAGTGAGAATGTCTTCCCTTTGTAACTAATTGGTTGGTTTGTTGGGGAAATTTATAGGTGTTTTATCCTTAATTGGAATGTTGAAAAGTGATAAATAATGTTATTTTTATTTTATTAGTTTGAAAATGTAATAACATTCTCAAATAATTCCTCACCTTGATCTGATCCCTCCTTTGGAACCATAATACACATAATCTGTACTACTCATTTAGGAATTAATTATATATTGCCTTATACTTACAGTATTTAACCCAATTTTTTTTTGCCTTGTGTACTTAACCATATTATAAATAACTTGTGTGTAGAGATTGAGCTTTCTTTTTCTTTTTTATCCTCACCTGAGGACATTTTTGTATTTATCTTCAGATAGAGTGGGAGGGAAAGGGGGAAGAAGAGAGAGAGAGAAACATTGATGTGAGAGAGACACATCAAGTGGTTGCCACCCACACAACCCCAACTGGGGCTGGAGATAAACTGCAACCGAGGTATGTGCCCTTAGTGGGAACCGAACCCAGGACTCTCTGGTCCATGGGCTGACGCTCTAACCACTGAGCCAAACCAGCCAAGGCTATCTCTATCTTTTTATGCTGTGTGTTCCTGAGGCCAGGGACCATAGCAGATAATGGGTAATAAAAGGACTTCAAAAATTAAATCTGTGAATTTTTTGGATATTATAACACTCTAGACCTTATTTTATCATTGTTTGCAGTCAGTCTTCTGTCAAATTTTGGTGCTGGGGCTCAGTAGATGCGTATGCTCAGCTTCCTGCTGGGCTCCTCTGACACTAACTACTCTGGCAAAAAACTGGCTCACACTGCCTCTTTGTATAATAGGATTAGTAAATAGTGTTTTGTTTTGTTTTTGGCTGTGCTGACACCTTTCTGGTGAAAGTGGGCCATTGACTTGCAACCACCTCAGCTTGCACTGCCTCCTCATTCCTAAGAGGGCTTGTACTCAGGTCCCTGCTGGCTGACACCAGGGGCAGTGGTTGGGGAAGTGGAGTGCTCTTCTCCACTACCTCATTCTACCTCTCCCCACCTGTTGCTGTCAGGTGAGGGTAGAGGCTCAGTTCACCTCTGGACCCTGCTGACAGAACCCAGCTGGGCCTGGTCCCTGTCATTGGGGGGATTGAAGTGCTGCTTGGGGGGTGGGGTAGAAGATCCTTCTCTATTCAGCCCCACTGAAATCTTGGGTGAGGAGGAGGTGGCAGTTTTCCTGTTGCTATTTGAGTGGGGTGGATACAGTAAAAAGTTTTCTGTTCTGATAGGCCACCCCTTTCCCAATCATTTGCCTGGGGCAACAAACTTTTCTTGGCGTTATTTATTTATTTATTTATTTAAGCTGTGCCTGGTTTTTTAATCAGTTTCATGTTGGAGGCTTATGCAGTGTCCTGTCCAGGATATATGGGAAACAATAAGGAAATCCAGGGAACTCATTGCTCTTCAAGTCCTGAGGTCCTTAGGTAGCCTGCCTTCTTTCCATCTTTCAATCTTTCTTGTTGTGTCATGCCCAGGTTTTTTAGTTGTAAGAGGAAGGACCTGGAAGGAATGGAGTTACTCCATCTTGGCCAGACCAGAAGTCACATTCTTTCTTTTAAGATGGGGAGACTGCCCTGGCCAGTTTGGCTCAGCGGTTAGAGCGTCGGCCTGCGGTCCGGAGAGACCCGGGTTCGGTTCCCGCTAAGGGCACGTACTTCGGTTGCAGTTTGTCCCCGGCCCTGGTTGGTCGTGCGGGTGGCAGCCACTCGATGTGTCCCTTCACGTCGATGTTTCTCTCTCTCTCTCCCTTCCTCTCTCTCCCTCCCACTCTATCTGTACAAAAAATGGAAAAATATCCTCGGGTGAGGATAAAAAAATAAAAAATAAAAATTAAAAAAGAAAAGATGGGGAGACTAACCCTTTCAATTAGTTCTCAATGGAAGCAGCAGGATCTTTTTAAGGCAGTCATCTTTTAAATGTCTAAGATGTCTTGTCCGGCCAGTGTGACTCAGTGGTTGAGCGCTGACCCATGCACCAAGAAGTTGCTGGTTCGATTCCCAGTTAGGATACAGGCCCAGGTTGGAGATAGCCAGTCTATGTTCTTGCTCATCAATGTTTCTATCTCTCCCTCTCCCTTCCTCTCTCTCTAAAATCAATAAAGGAAAAAAAAATTGTCTGAGATGTCTATATTTTGTTTAAAAGACAGGTTTTAAAGCCAAAATAAAATCTTGAAAACCACTGCTCTAGAACACTCCATTAAAAATGAAATCCAAAGCTTCTTTTTCTGTGTCTGTCTCTCACAGCTAGTCTTTGATAGGAAGCAGGGACTCTGTTCTATTTATTTTGTTTTTCTAGCACTTGAACATGCCCAACGTATAGTATATATTCAGTACATGTTTATGAAGGAATGGAATCATTTATGCAGATCTGTCTTCTCTGCCCTTGTAGTTCCTTTACTACTTACTCCATTTTAGGGTCTTTTTTTTTCTCCTCTTGCCAGGTATCCTAGATACAGCCATTGTTGATCGGGGAAGGAATGTGGTATCTGGTTCTCGGGATGGAACAGTGAGACTTTGGGATTGTGGGCGCTCTGCCTGCCTGGGAGTCATTGCAGACTGTGGTTCTTCTATCAATGGAGTGGCTGTGGGTGCTGCTGACAACTCCATCAACCTTGGCTCCCCTGAGCACACACCCAGTAAGTTGATAATGATCTGTGAAGCTTATTTTGTTTCCTTAGACCTCTTCAATATTTGCCTTAGTTTCTCCTTTTCTTCCTTGTCCTTTCCTGTTCTGTAGCTAATATTTCTGTTTTCACCATAAGATTAATATTTATTGCAAACCTACTCTGTTTCTGTTGCTTTGGAATCTACAGAGGAACTATATGTCATCGTAACTACATTTGAGTAATTATAGTTTAATATCAGATGAGACTAATGCCTATAAAATTTTGATTGAAATAACTTAGTGATTGTTGGAAGGAGAGAGTGTTTTAGGTTAGTGTCGATGAGAAAGGTGTCATAAAAGGAGTTGACTTGAACTTTGAAGGATGGATTCCAGGTGAACAGACAACAGGAAGGATGGGAGCTAGGGCAGGGTCATCAGTGATTCCATGTTGCCTAATCCATTGTTACTTCTCTGTGCTTGTCTTTCTGAATTCTCTTCAGGGTTCAACATAGTCAACCCCTCAGGACCCTTTTCTGTCTTGGCTTCTGTGATACCACACTACACTGCTTTTCTTCCTAGCTCACTAGCTGCTGCTGCTTAGTCTCCTTTTATAACTCTCCTTTTTTCTACCTTTAATTATTAGAGGGCCTTCAGCTCTAATTACATTTTCTCCCTGGGTGATCTATGGCTTTAAGTATTGTATTTAAGGTGGTGATTTCCAAAAGTATAAAGTATAGGCCTCTCACCTGAGTTTTAGACTCTGTTTACATGTCTATTAGACAGCTCAAACTGACCTTGTCTAACAAGGTTTTTTGTTTGTTTGTTTTGTTTTCATTTTTTGTTCAGATAGAGCAGGAGGGAAAGAAAGGAAGAGAGAGAGAGCGAGAGAGAGAGAGAGAGAGAGAGAGAGAGAGAGAGAAACATCATCGTGAAAGGTACACATCGAGTGGCTGCCACCCGCACAACCAACCAGGGCCGGGGACAAACTGCAACCGAGGTGTGCCCTTAGCAGGAACTGAACCCGGGTCTCTCTGGACCCCAGGCTGACACTCGAACCACTGAGCCAAACCGGCCAGGGCTAACAAGGAGTTTTTTATTCCCCCCTCCCAAATCTGTTTTTCCCCATCTTCCCATTTGCTTAAACCCAAAGCCTGAGATTCATTCACGATCAACCCCCACTTTTCCTTATGTCCCACATCAGCAAAGTCTGTCATCTCTACCTTCACGGTGTTTCTAGTTTTTTCACCTTGCTCTCTCCCTCCCACTCTCCCTCCTGCCAGCATCCTGGTCCAATCTGTCATCATCTATCGCTTGTACTATTCTCCTGTATTCCATTTTCCTCAGAGCAACCACTGTGGTTATTTAAACAACACAAATCAAGTCATGTCACTGTTCTTTGTCTCTACTGTACTCCAGTGGCCTCTTCTTATGCATATATTAAAATCTTAACCCCTTACCATGGCTTATCACAAACCCTTATACTTTCTGACCCCTGCATTCCTTTCTAGCCTCATGTCATAGCACCCTCTGCCAAGCCCACTGTGTTCCAGTCACAGGCCTTCTGTTTGCTCTTGAACACACAGACTCTGCTAGCCAATACTTTTCAAAACTCTTCACGTGACTATCTTCTGTTTACCTTTCAGGTCTCTGTTGAAAAGTGACCTCCATGGAGCCTTTTTAAAGATGAAGTTTAAATTTAAAGTTACCTTTCCACCCAATCCTCCCACTGTTTATTCATTTTTGGTCATATTTTCCTATTTTATTTCCTTTGTAGAACTCATCATTGTCTGAAAGTATCCTACTTGTTTACCTATCGCACTATTTCCCAGTTCCACTAGAATCCTGAAGAGTAAAGACCTTGTCTGTTTGTACATTACTATTTCTCAGCACCCAGAATAGTATCCGATACATAGTAGACATAGGGCATCATTTAAATTCCAGATCTTCCACTTAATGACTCTGACATTGGACAGGTTACTTAACCTCTCAATAAATATTTAGTGAATTAATACATTTTATTTCCTCCAGACTGTAAGAGCTTTGAGGGCAGAGACTCTATTTTGTTCAACCTTGTATCCCTGCTCCTAGTATGTATCTTGTCATATTGCAAAGGAGTTAATATATTTAATTTAGATTTATTGAGTTTGGACAAATATGTAGTTATATACATAATACCACAGTCAAGATATAGGACATAATAAATGTTCTTTAAGGTTAATAAGTGAATCAGTCCTGGCTGGTGTGCCTCAGTTGGTTGGGTATCATCTTGTGCACTGAAAAGTGGGTGGTCAATTCCTAGTCAGGGCACATGCCCGGGTTTCAGGCTCGATTTTCGATAGGGAGCTTTGCAGAAGGTAGCTGATTGATATTTTTCTCTCTCTCCCTTTCCCGTCCCCTTTCTCTAAAAATCAATAAAAATATTTTTTTAAAAATGAGTGGCCCTGGCCAGTTTTCTCAGTGGTTAGAGCGTAGGCCCACGAACCAGAGAGTTGTGGGTTAGATTCCAGTCAAGGACACGTACCTCGGTTATGGTTCAGTCTCCGGCCCTGGTCGGGGTCATGTGGGGGGGCAACCAAAGGATGTCTCTCATATCAATGTTTTTCTCTTTCTCTCTTTCTCTCCCTCCCTCCACTCTATCTAAAGCTAAATGGAAAAATATCCTCAGGTGAAGATTAAAAAAAAAAAATTAATGAGTGAATCACTAACAGTAATTCCGTAAACAGCCACCAGTATCTGTGCTTTCTGGGTACTGCCAGCTGATTATCCATTGTTGACATAGCTCATCTGTCATGCAGGTGAACGGGAGGTTGGAACAGAATCGAAAATGCTGCTGCTGGCCCGGGAAGATAAGAAGCTTCAGTGCTTGGGACTACAAAGCAGGCAGCCGGCAAGTGGTTCCTCTAAGATCTTTGAACTCTGGGGCAAGCTGGGTCACTCTGATTCTTGGAAAGCTGTTTTGTAAACACTTCTACATGCACGCTGTGTTCACCTTTTGAGGAAGCTACGTGAGTGAGAGGCAGTACATTGTAGTGATTAGTAACATGGGATTTGGAATAGGGCAACATTTATTTCTCTTTTAAACTTTTTTTCTTTATTGATTTTAGAGGGGGGGGGTAGAAACATCAATGAGAGAGAACATTGATTGGCCGCCTCCTGCATGCTGCCCACTGGGGATTTGGCCCACAACCTGGGCATGTGCCCTGATCGGGAATCAAACTAGTGGCCTATTGGTGCAGGGGTTGATGCTCAGCCACTGAGCCACATCATCCAGGCAGAAATAGGGCATCATTTAAATTCCAGATCTTCCACTTAATGACTCTGACATTGGACAGGTTACTTAACCTCTCTGACCTTCAGTTTCCTCATCATTAAACTGGGCCTGGTAGGGTTTATCTCACAGGGTTATGTGAGGAGGATTAAATGCTCCACTGCTTTGCAACCTTTGTTAAGTCACTTTCCCTCTGGGCCTTCATGTGTTATACGTAAAATGATATGGTTGTATCCTTTCTACCTCTAAGATTATATGAAGAAATTCTGAGAAAAGAATTCATGCACTCTGGGCTCTAGATCAGATAATGATCAGAATGTCTTTTATAGAAGAATTAATTGAATTTTCTTCCTTCATCCTCTGAGGTTTTGCTGGGCATACTGTGTTCTTAATTAAACTCTGAGTTCTCTGGGATTAGATTTTTAAAATGTCTTTCTAGCTCCTGTCATCATCACCCAGATAATGTTAATGATTGGGTTTGGCCGTAGGCTGTATATTTTCTTTCTCTCTCATTACTTCATTGTGCTGGTGATGTTTCCATTTTCAGTTTGTTCCAGGAACATCATCTTTTTTTAATCCTCACCCAAGGATGTTTTTTTTCATTGATTTTTAGAGAGAGTGGAAGTGCGGGAGATTGGGAGGGAGAGAGAGAGAGAGACATCAATGTGAGAGAGGCACTTCAGTTGCCTCCTGCATGTGCCCCTGCTGGGGCCAGGGATTGAACCTGCAACCCAGGTACAGGCCCTTGACCTGGAATCAAACCTGGGACCCTTTGGTGTTCAGGCTGACACTCTAACCATTCAGCAACACCAGCCAGGGCAGAATGTCACTATATTTTATTATATTGTCTTTGCATTCTGAATTTTCATGCTGGCTTTTACTTCCAAAGGGAAATCAAGGAGTTTTGTTTTATTTCGCTTTGCTCTGTTTCTTTCCTTTTTAGAACATTCAAGGGAGAAATGATCAATTTGAGCTAACAGTAAGGAATAAATAAAAATCTGATAACTTCTTTTTTCAAGTTTATTGGGAGAATTATGATTTTTTTAATCCTCACCTGAGGATATTTTTTCTATTTATCTTCAGGTAGAGTGGGAGGGAGGGCGGGGAGAGAGAGAGAGAGAGAGAGAGAGAGAGAGAGAGAGAAACATTGATGTGAGAGAGACACATTGACTGATTGCTTCTCGCACAATCTGACCAGGGCTGGAGACCGAACTGCAACTGAGGTACATGCCTTTGACCGGAATCGAACCTGTGACTCTGGTCCAATGGCAGATGCTCTAACCACAGAGCCAAATCGGCCAGGTCATGAGAATTATGATTCTTTAGATTGCCACTTTTAAAGCTGGTTTCTTTTTCTACAAAGTACCTCCCTTCAAAAGGTGTTTAGAAGCAACATGAAGCAAATCTTTTTTAATATGTTTTTATTGATTTGTTGTTGTTGTTGTTAGAGAGGAAAGGAGAGATAGAAACATCAGTGTGAGAAAGAAACATCTATCGGCTGCCTTCTACACACCCCCTACTGGGGATTGAGTCTGCAACTGGTCATGTTCTCTGACTAGGAATCGAACCAGGACCTCTCAGTCCATGGGATGATGCTCAGTCCTCTGAGCCACACCGGCTGGGTCATGAAGCAAATCTTAAATGTGTGAATTACAAGTGTTTCTCAAATGGAAGGTTGTAATGAAAAGAGGGAAAAGAAGGATTTTTGGTGTTGAGCATTCTATGAGTCGATGTGTTGAGGGGTGGTAGTTTGAAAATTGCTGCCTCAGACTATGGTATTATATAAACTGCTAAAGTCCTCAGCCAACCTCAAGTTCCTGAAATCCTGGGAGTGCTTCTTCCTCAGTTGTTGGTGAATGCGTAGTTTAGATCGAGAATACTTAAAGGGGGAAGAAAGAAAATATCTCTAAAAGTAGTAAAATTTTTCTTTTTTTGGTGCCTGTTTATTCCTGGGAGAAAAATAAGCTTTAACAGCATTTTTGTCTCCTACTTGTCCCCAGGTATTCCTCTTTATTGGCTCAGATGCCTTCAACTGCTGTACTTTTCTCTCTGGCTTCTTGCTGTTGGCTGGGACACAGGATGGAAACATTTATCAGCTGGATGTGAGGAGTCCAAGGTGAGTCACCATTCATTTGCATAATGTAGACTTTCTGCAGAGTGGAAATTTTTATTGGCTTTAACACTGATTTAGCGTAATATATAGGTGATTATTGAATCAAGGGTATATTTTTCCATTTATAAAGGTTTTCCAGTGTGAATTGTCTGATTGTTCTTACTATTCTTAGAAACATATTAAAAGGTGATTTGGTTCATACTGTCATGATTGTCCTATTGTAGTGATTACTTTGGAAATTAAGCTTAAATAATGAACTAACATTTCACTTTAAAATGATTGTGTAAAACTTAATTTTAAGGAGCTCAGTAGTTTTCTTCATGGTATTTTATCTGGTTTGGCCTTAGTTGATCATTTCTCAAGTTCAAATAAGCCAGCTTTGGTTCTTTATTTAGCTTTGATCATAACCTATCTAAAACAGGCCTTATTCTGGTCTTAAAGCTATCCAGAGAAAATTACACAACCTTTTCTGACCCAAAATTTAACAATATCTACAATTTCCTTCCTTTGTTCAACTGATATTTATTGAATGGCTTCTTTGGGCACCAGGCTTTGTGCAGAGCCCTGAAAAACAGAAAAGATACAGACCCTGCCTTTGAGGCATTTGGAGTCTAATAGTAACACTGGATAAGTAAAAGACTGTTGTGATGCAGTGTGATCAATGGTCTGACAGGGAGGTACACAGGAATATGAGGAGAGAGAAGAAAGTGAGGTTACTTCTCCAAGGAGATGAGGCTTTAATTATATCTTGTCCAGTAGGAAGTTACCAAGTAAAGAAGAAAGGGTAGGCCCTGGCCGGTTTGGCTCAGCGGTTAGAGCATCAGCCTGCGGTCCGGAGAGACCTGGGTTCAGTTCCCGCTAAGGGCATGTACCTCGGTTGCAGTTTGTCCCTGGCCCTGGTTGATTGTGCGGGTGGCAGCCACTCGATGTGTCCCTTTCACGTCGATGTTTGTCTCTCTTTCTCTCTCCCTCCCACTCTATCTGTACAAAAAATGGAAAAATGTCCTTGGGTGAGGATAAAAAAAAAAAAAGAAAGAAGAAAGGGTAGAATAGCATATAGAGAAGCATGAAGGCATGTGGAAGTATGGCACTTTACGGGATCTCTGAGTAGTTTAATATGACAGGTATGTGCCCTGCAGACAGGGCAGCAGTGAGAAGTAGTGCCAGACAGGAGAGCAGGAGTTTGCTTAGAAAAGACTCACATACCGGCCTAAGGAGTTTGGACTTTGTCCCAAAAGCAGTGAAGAAATTCCAGCTGAAGACTGACTAGCTTAGCCCTGGCCAGTTTGGCTCAGCAGTTAGAGCTTCGGCCCACGGACCAGAGAGTCCTGAGTTCGGTTCCCGTTAATGGCATGTACACAGTTGCAGTTTGTCCCTGGCTCCAGTGGAGTTGTGTGGGTGGCAACCACTTGATGTGTCTCTCTCACATCAATGTTTCTCTCTCTCTCTCATCTTCCCTCTCTTCCTACCATTCTATCTGAAGATAAATGCAAAAATGTCCTTGGGTGAGGATAAAAAAAGAAGAAAAAAGAGTGACTAGCTTATACCTTTTCTTTCATAATATAAGTTACTTTATTTTTTGTACTTGTTTTTGCCTCCCCAGGGATAGGGAATCATCTTGATCACTATTTTATACACACACACACACATACACACACACACACACAATTGATTCTCACTCACCTTTCTGTTTTGTTTTATAGACTCCTGACAATTTTAGTATTTCACAACTGTCTTAATTATCTAGAAGTAAAAGGATTTACATATTATTAACATTGTTAAACCCTTGTCAGACCTCTCCGAAGACTGGAGATATTGGTGGTGACCATATTCATTCAGCTCAATGACATATTTAGATTCACTCCAAGGTGTTTTTGAATGGGTTTTCTTGATATACCATTTAAGGATCTTGCAGGAAAGAAGCCATATGAATATTAACTTCTATCCACCTATGTCCTATCGGCTGTAATGTGGTTAGTATATATAGTTAGGCATTACTTTTGTTTTTTGTTTGTTTTTTATCCTCACCCGAGGACATTTTTCCATTTTTTGTTCAGATAGAGCGGGAGGGAGAGAGAGGAAAAGAGAGAGAGAGAGAAACATCGATGTGAAGGGACACATCGAGTGGCTACCACCCGCACGACCAACCAGGGCCGGGGACAAACTGCAACCGAGGTACGTGCCCTTAGCGGGAACCGAACCCGGGTCTCTCTTGTACTGCAGGCCGACGCTCCAACCGCTGAGCCAAACCGTCCAGGGCAGTTAGGCATTACTTTTGAAGAAAAAAACTAAAATTGTCCCTTTTACTCTGACTTCTAGGGCTCCAGTACAAGTCATTCACAGATCAGGAGCGCCAGTTCTGTCCCTGCTGAAATTTAAAGACGGATTCGTTGCTAGCCAAGGTGAGAAGGGGCCAATGGAGAGAGATGGTTCCATGCACTTAAGTTAAACACAGGTTTAAGTGCCTGGTCTATGACTGGGCTAGGAGCATGGTCCTCCACGATTGTTTGGCATATTGTGTTTATCACGTAGTGTTTATCACCCTACACTGTAATTGTCAATGCCCCATTCCAGTCCAAGCTCCTGGAGAGTAGTGATTGAGCCTTATTCCTCATATTATCTCCAGCATTTAGCTTAGTGCCCACTATGTAGCTGGTGCTCAATAAATATTGGTGGTGTAAATGTATTGTCCTTTATTATAAAACATTGAGGATTCAATAGTGAATCAGTTCCGGTCTGCCCTAAAGGAGCTCACAGTTAGTAAGGGAGACAGGCATGTGGACATGTGATTGAGTACAGTTTGTTAAGTGCTGCAGCAGAAAACTATGAGAACGTGGAGGACAACTAGCTAGTGGTAGGAGTGCTGCAGGGATGCCTTCACAGACCAGGTGACATGTAATATTACATGTAAGCCAAGTAATATTATACCAGCAGGAGATGGAAAGATGAACATTGAAAGCCAAAGCTATAGTGTGTGCAATCATAAATGAGGGAGGGGTGGCAAAACGAAGGGATCTGTCATTAACTAGGTGCCTACTATGCGGTAGGTTCTGTGTTTAAAGCTTTACATAAATAGTCTAGGTAAATGAGTACCTTGGTGTAGTCAGGACTAGATATTTGGAGTTGGGAGTGGGGTTGGGGGAAATGCATGGAACAAGGTATTCACTAAGGGACACTGAATCCTCATAGGAATGATGGAGGTGAGAGGACTAGACAGTGTGGTCCGGAGGGACTACCTTACCTGAGTATTTTAGTGTATCGGTCAGGATGTTTTTGATATTTTTTCCTTTATTGATTTTAGAGAGAGGAAGAGAGAGGAAAAGAGAGAGAGAACCATTGATGAGAGAGAACATTGATTGGCCGCCTCTTGGGGATCAGGCCCACAACCTGGGCATGTGCCCTGACCAGGAATCGAACTGGCATCCTCTTGGTGCATGGGCTGATGCTCAACCACCGACTACACTGGCCAGGCCAGTTAGAATGTTTTTGACTGTTAGGAACAGAATACCCAACTGAAAACTGCTTCAGTAATTAGAAAAGTATACTACTACTTCACTTAACAAGTAGTCCAGGTTTATGGTGGTTCCAGATTAGATTAATTTGGTGATCAAAAAACAGTCAACAGCCCTGGCCAGTTTGGCTCAGCGGTTAGAGCGTCGGCCTGCGGTCCGGAGAGACCCGGGTTCGGTTCCCGCTAAGGGCACGTACTTCGGTTGCAGTTTGTCCCCGGCCCTGGTTGGTCATGCAGGTGGCAGCCACTCGATGTGTCCCTTCACGTTGATGTTTCTCTCTCTCTCTCTCTTCCTCTCTCTCCCTCCCACTCTATCTGTACAAAAAATGGAAACAAATCCTCGGGTGAGGATGAGAAAAAAACAAAACAAAAAAAAACAGTCAACAGAGGATATTAAAGAAACTTGACAACTAAATCATTGTGGTGTCCAGGACATTAAAGACTAATGAAATCCAAAAAAATCTAAACTGAAACTGGCTCAGAGCCATATGAGAATTTTCTGTACTATCTTTGTCACTTTTTTATAAACTTAAAATTATTCTAAACTATAAAAAATTTATAATTTAAAAAATAAAAGCTTTGGCAAGGAAATAAATAAAATCAAGAACCCAGCTTTTATTTATCTTTTGGTGCTCTCCTCCCTAGCAAACTGGCTTTTGTCCTCAAGCCTTGTTCCCACATGGTCACAGAGAAAGAAAGCCGCAGTGCCTCTCATCCTCGCGTAACAGTGGATACTGTTGGCCTTTTTTAGAATGAGGGAAATTCCTCAGGAGCAGCCCAGCAGACATACCTCATTGTCCAGATTATAATACATGTCCATGCCTAATGCAGTCACTGGCAAGAGGAATACAATTACCATAAATGGCTTGGGTTAAGTTTCACCCATGCCACTGTTACTGGAAATAATCTGGGATTCTGCCAGTCAGGAGAAGGGCAGAGAAATAGATGAGTAGGCAGCCAACAGTCTGGGGTATCTGTGGCCATCTCTCAAATATAGGTAGGTACCCTCTATTTCTGTCACAACAGTGCCTCATTTCCTTAGCCCTTCTCCTTCAGGATTTCCAGACCATAGCAGAGTAATCAGGAATCTGCACACCTAATTTTCTAGCTCTCTGCACTTGCTCTCTGTCTCTCTTTCTCCCTCATGTCTTGGCATCAGTTGAGTGATGCAGCAGTACTCTTTTTAGAGCCTTAATAAGAGAGCAGCTTCCCTTGGTGCTGCTGCTACCACTCTGGTGATCCTTTTCTTTGATTCCTTATGCTGCCATGCACATTCTTCCCCTGAGATCTCTTTTCTGGCCTCCATCCTCATATTTCTGCTCAAATTCCCCTCTGAAGGCCACATACGATTAGCTTCTTGCTAGGCCCAGTGGCCTTTTATATGATTAGGCTGTCTTGTCCACTAATCCCTAAGTTTCTTTGAGGGCAGGTACTATTTCTCTTCATCTCTGTAGCCCCAGCTCTTGCACAGGACTGAAGAATTGCAGCAAGTGTTTGTTGAATGAGTGAGTACATATTTTCATGATTCTTAGTGGTAATACATTCTGTTTCTGTTAGTGCCTTCTTAAAACTTAGCTCCTTTGACATTGGGGATACTAATTAATCTCCTGATTATTCTCTTTCTTCAGTTACTGATATTTTCCTGGTTTCAGTAGCTTATGTTTATAAGTACCTAGCATGATTCATGGCATACTGTGTTTTCAAATTGTTTGTTGAACTTGAATCCTTTTGCTATACCTACTGTTGTTGCTATTCCTAAACTGGAGATATTTTCTGAGTTTAACCTTTGTCCTTTTCCCCTTCTCTATGTTTCCTCAGAGACTGATTGGTCTCATGGTTTTAGCTGTTAATTATTAGAATCCATGGCTTCTAACCCTGACCTCCTACTTAGCCTATATTTTATTGGGCAGCAGCATGAGAGAGAGAGAAACGTCAATGAAAGAGAATATCAATTGGCTGCCTCCTGCATGCCCCTACTGGGGATCAGGCCCACAACCTTTAACAGTAATTATGTTTGAGTGGTAGATTATACGTGATTTTTTACTTCTCTGTATCTTTATTTTTAAAGTTTATGTTAATGAGCATGTACTACTTTTATATCAAGACAAGAACAACAACAAAAAAATCACCTTAATCTTTAGTTTGTAGATCATCCCAAATTTCATTTGTCCATGCTCTTCTGAGAAAAAAAGTTTAAAAATTAGATGTACCTTTCTTTTCTAGGTATAACTTTTTCCTTTGCTCACTATATTTGGTCAGGTTTATAGATTGAGGAATAATTTGGGAACATAGATTTTTTTTTTATCCTCACCCGAGGACATTTTTCCATATTTTGTTCAAATTGAGTAGGAGGGAGGGAGAGAGAGAGAGAAACCTCGACATGAAAGGGACACATCGAGTGGTTGCCACCCACACAACCCAACCTGGGCCAGGGACAAACTGCAGCCGAGGTACATGCCCTTAGCGGGAACCGAACCCAGGCCTCTCTGGACTGCAGGCCGACGCTCTAACTGCTGAGCCAAACCGGCCAGGGCATAGATTTTTTTTTTATTTAAAAACATTTATATAGACAAATTTCCTGTTGAAAGTTATTGTCTAGGATAAATCTGTAGTTGTTTGCTCTGTGCCCTTGGCAGGTATTGCTAGTTAAAGACAAGCCTTCTTCCCACAGAAGGCACTTGACCTTCAAATTCTCTGTATCCCAGCATTCAGGCAGCCACTATAGGTCCTCATATTTGGTCTACATAATGAGATCTGTTTGCCTTTCTGGGTCTTAGGACAATCTTCTTTAGGCTAGTGATGTACAGAAATAAACTAAAATATTGAGGGTTTTTTAAACACTTCTTTGCATGCAGGTTTCTCTTTAGTTTTCTAAATTTTCTTTCTTCCTTTTAGGTGATGGAAGCTGTTTCATTATCCAGCAAGACTTAGACTATGTCATTGAGCTCACCGGGGCTGACTGTGACCCTGTGTACAAGGTACAAGCCTGATTGGAGACCAGGCCAGGGTGATTCTCACCTGGGATCTGGAGCTTTGGAGAAGTCTAACTCCAGCTACTTTGTGATTATTGGGGGTGAGAAAATACTTAGGGATGGGATAGAAAGAAATCAAAATTTTGAGTCAGAAGTGACTTCATCACTTACTAGATCTAAAAACTTGAAAAATCCCTTTACCTCCCTAGTCTATCAGTTAATCTGTAAAATGAGGATAATAGATAATGCATATGAAAGCTCTTTGTAAATTTAAAATATTCTATAAATATTAGCTATTATTATTATTAAAGTTTGAGACTGATTGTCCTATTTGATTATAATTGAAAGAGAAAAATAAAAGGGGAAATAATATTTATTGACCAGACATTATGCTGGATGTTTTACGTGTATCATCTACAGACTCAAAAGTCCCTCTAACTTTTAGTTCAACTCTCCTTTCCAGAATTAACTAGCATTAATAGTTTGGCACATATCTTTCAAGATTGTTTTTGTGTTTATGTATTTATGTAAATAATATCATTTATCATAGTTGGTGCATAATTGGGATCATCCTATATGTATTGCCTTATAACTTGTTTTTTTTTACTTATCATCCTGGAGCTCTTTCCAAACCAAAGCAGATAGATCCACTTCATTTCTAAAAGTTTCTGTGTAGTGTTCTATTTTGTGAATTATAATATCATTTTCAGCTTACAAATAAAGAAACTGGAGCCCAGAGGAATTGAGCAAGTTGCCCATGGTCATGCAGCTACATATTAGCAAAGGGGATTCAGTTAACTCCTGAATTCATGCTATTTCCACAAATTTAGTGGTTCTTAACCTTCTTTGAGTCTCAGACTTCTTTGAGAAGTCGATTAAATTCTCAGAAAAAAACAGGCATATATTGAGAACTTCTTTGCATACAGTTTTATGAGATTCAGGGATACCCAGGGCCATCTGTGGACCATCTTCTCCTCAGGTACAGACTGCACTAAACCATGCACAACACTAATAGGTTTGCTCTCCACCTTGCTAATTAGTATCTCTGTTCTGTTGTCATATGCCCTTGACCCTGGTCAACCATATTTAAAATATGTATGGATATAACTCTTTTCTTATCTTTAGAGTCAGTAAAGCACCTCGGACTCCCTTGTACTAGTGGGGATGAATGACAAGGCTCTATCTTTTTGAAATGGCAGAATTCCAGGCTTACTCTGGGCTGTGAACTCTTGTGTTCCAGGTGGCCACATGGGAGAAGCAGATCTACACATGCTGTCGAGATGGTCTTGTGCGGCGCTACCAGCTCTCTGACCTCTGACTCCTTGGAAAGAGAGTCCCAGTTAATGAAAATGATTGACCCTGATCAACATTTAGCAGAAACATCATCAATCCTTTCCAAGGACCATGCTGTTTATTGTCTTGGGCACTCTTTGGAAGTCACAGAAAGGCAGCTGCATTGGCCATGTGGAACTGTCATTCCATAACAAGACTTCTCTGAACTGAGTAGGAAGTTCATATGTGCTTACTGCATTTGCCCTAACTTTTCTGTGTATAAACTCATCCTAGCAACACTGGGCAAGGCTATGGATTGATTACAGTTTGGTCACACACCTGTTGTGTTAAATGTTTACAGGACCAGAGGACAAAAGCCTGTTCGCTGAAGGAAATAAAGAAAATATGTTTGGAGGAGTCTGAATTTGAAAAACTTTGTTAAATACTCTTACTCCAGCAAAAAGTCGGTCAGGCTGATGGAACTCCTTTCTCGGGTGCTTCCTGTTGCCCTGGCCATAGAGAAGGACTGCTCGACAGTAGCAGTAAATATCCCATAAGCAGCAACCTGGGAAGATTTTTATACCGGTAGGATAACTAACCATCCCAGTTTCCCTTGGACTGAGGGGTTTTCTACTACATGTGACTTTCAGTCCCAGGCAAACTAACATGGTCTGTCAGCCTGTATATAGGTGATAAAGTTGAATCAGAGCATTGTAAAGACAGTGGCTGTCAAAGTGTGGTCCCTGGAACAGCTTACCAGTATCACCAGGGAACTTAGAAATAGAAATTCTTGAGCCCCACCTCAGACTTACATCAGAAAGACTATGGCTAGGGCCCACAATCAATATTTTATTAGGCCTTCCATGATTCTGAAGCATGCTGAAGTTTGAGATCTAGAGGAAGAGGTGATAAAAGGCATTTAAGTCATAGATGGACCCAGGGCTCATAGGATGGCCAGGCTGGTCTGTAGGAGATCAGGCTGGAGAGGTTGGCAGGGCCCAAATAGTGAAGGGGCTTGAATGCCAGGTAAGGAGCTTGACCTTCACTTGAATGGCAGTAAGGAAGCATGAAGGAGTTTTTAAGTTAGGGTATGACATGGTTACTTCTTTTTTTCTTTAAACATAAAAATGGAATCATAACCCTGGCTGGTTTGGCTCAGCGGTTAAAGCGTCAGCCCGCAGACCAATGAGTCATGGGTTTGATTCCGGTCAAGGGCACGTACCTCAGTTGTGGTTCGATCCCGGGCCCTGGTCCGGGTCATGCAGGAGGCAACCAATTGGTGTGTCTCTCACATCGATGTCTCTCTCTCTCTCTCTCTCTCTCTCTCTCTCTCTTCCCCCCCACCCCCTACCCTCCCACTCTAAAAATTAATGGAACAATACCCTCTGGTGAGGATTTTTTAAAAAGGGCGCCCTGGCCAGTTTTGCTCAGTGGTTAAGAGCGTCGGCCTGCGGCCCAGAGAGACCCGGGTTTGGTTCCCACTAAGGGTGCATACCTCGGTTGCAGTTTGTCCCCAGCCCTGGTTGGGTTGTGCGGGTGGCAGCCACTCTATGTGTCCCTTTCACGTTGATGTTTCTCTCTCTCTTTCTCCCTCTCTCCCTCCCACTCTATCTGAACAAAAAAATGGAAAAATGTCCTCAGGTGAGGATTAAATAAATAAATAGGCACTGGCTGGTTTGGCTCAGTGGTTGGAGCGTTGGCCTGCGGACCAGAGAATCCTGGGTTCGGTTCCCGCAAGGGGCACATACCAAAAAGAAAAAATGGAATCATAATATATATATTCCATGGCTTATTTTCACTTAGTATCTCTGAGTTCTTTTCATCTCAGTACTTAGACCTTCCTCATTCTTGTTAATAATTTCCAGAACATGAATACCATATCATTTACACTTTAGAGATTATTAAAGAAAAAGTTTATTGGAGCATGCAACACTTTAGTTGGGCCTTGTAGGCTGAGGTCTGGAATTTATTTAAGAGAGGTAAGTATGTCCAGCTGGTGCGGCTCAGTGGATGAGCGTCAACCCGTGCACCAAGAGGTTGTGATTCCATTCCCGGTCAGGACAGATGCCCAGGTTATGGGCCTGATTCCCAGTGCGGGGCATGCAGGAGGTGGCCAATCGATGTTCTCTCTCATTGATTTTTTTCTCCCTCTCCCTCTTAAAAAAAATCGATAAAAATTTTTTTTATAAAAAGAAATACTGTAATTCATTGAGTATATACTGGTAATCTACTTTGTTCACAAAACTGTCAAAAAAGGAAATAAAATTATTCCTGTTTCATAGATAAGGAAATTGAGGCTAAAGAAGTTAAGTACCAGAGCCTTGGTTTGGACCTTGCTCAGTCTGTCTCAAAGTCCTGTGTTCCTTCCACCTCAGCATGTGATCACGGGACTTCAGGGACTACAATTATTTCACTTAAGAAGTGATCTGAAGAGACATATTCCAGAACTCAAACGTTGATTTCTAGGAGATCCAAGGAGTAACTCTAAGAAGTCGCATTAAGAAAACAAGATAATGCCCTGGCCGGTTTGGCTCAGCGGTTGGAGTGTCGGCCTGCGGTACAGAGAGACCCGGGTTCGGTTCCCGCTAAGGGCACGTACCTCGGTTGCAGTTTGTCCCCGGCCCTGCTTGGTCGTGCGGATGGCAGCCACTCGATGTGTCCCTTCACATCGATGTTTCTCTCTCTCCTCGGTTGAGGATTAAAAAAAAAGAAGAAGAAAAGAAAAGAAAACAAGATAAGCCCTGGCTGGTTGGTTTGAAAGTGTAAGCCTGAAAGTGTGGACCAGAAAGAAAATAGGATGAGGCCCTGGTCATAGAGTATATGGAAGGTGGTTGATCAATGTCTGTCTCTCTCTCACTCTCTCCCTCCCTTCTCTCTCAAATCACTAAACATATCCTCAGGTGAGGATTTAAAAAATGTAAATAGGATGAGACAGGATATGGCTTGAGTTCATCATACGGCACCTGTGTCTGAGTTCCCATTCCAGGACTCAATCTTCACTGCTATCATTTGTGAGCCCCTTTTTATAGGTCTCCAGAGTTGATATTCTGGTTGTGATGGATGTAGTGACCCTTGAGAGCTGCTGTGAAATCCACACCCAAAGAGAAGGAGCAGAGGCCAGCTGTCAGGTGCCCGAAAGCCTTGTCGTCTGTGAATGGACTAATCCCCAGTTTGCATCAGGCGAAGCTTGCTTTTTCTTTTGGGTTGAGAGGTGCATTCTGGGTAAGGAAGGGTGGACAACCCCCATCCACAGCACTGCAGGCCCAGTAAAGCTCTGTCCTAGACCTTGTTTCTTGGTTTTAGATGCCCCCTTGTGACTTCTTGTGGGAAGTGCCTCTTTCTCAAGCTGGCAATAGCATCAGCTATTGAGCAAATGCTCTGTGCCAAGCACAGGCCTCACAATAGCTTTGCAAAGGTTTCTTTTTCTTGAATAAGTCTCTGTGGATATATTTTATATATTTTTTCTAATTTACTTTTTATTTTGAAATAATTTCAAACTTACAAATAAGTTTCAAGAATAATACAAAGGATTTCAGTGTATCCCCACCCAGATCTCCCAGTTGTTAACTTTTTATTGTTTATCATTCTTATTCTCTCTCTCTCTCTCTCTCTCTCTCTCTCTCTCTCTCTCTCTCTCTCTCTCTCCTGCGTGCACTGCTGCCCTCAGGGTGGAGCAGGACATTCCACTCTCTAAGGGTGGGCCTCAAAATGGCTTCCCACCAAAATGTACAATCCAGAAAGGGGGAAACAAAAGTGACCTTACAGTGGAGAAACATGACAAACTACCTCAGCAGGTGATCATGGTCAACATCGCCAGTGATAGGTCGTATTGGTGGTATGTACCTTTGATCTGATGTGATGAGAATGGCACTTTACCACTGTGGTCTTTCTTCCAGAACCCCAAGCTTGAGAGACAGTCTCCAAAATAACTGACCAGTACTTCTTAAATTGTCAGCACCATTAAAAACAAGGAAAGTGTGAGAAAAGCTGTAGTCCAGAGGAGCTACATGACAACTAAATGTAATGTGGAATCTAGATGGGATCCTGGAACAAAAAGGCATTAGATTAAAAACTAGGAAATCTGAATAAAGAATGGACTTCTGATATAAATGATGTATTGATATTGGTTATTATTTGTGACAAATGTACAAATAACTTATGCAAGTTGTTAATAATGGGGGAAACTGAGTGTGGGGTGTTTGAGAACTCCACTATCTTCACAACTTGCCTGAAAACCTAAAACCTTTCTAAAATAAAAATTTATTTTATTTTATTATTATTTTTTTAATTTTTTTTCCTTTATTGATTTGAGAGAGAGAGGAAGTGAGAGGGAGATAGAAACATCGATTGGCCGCCTCCTGCATGCCCCCTACTGGGGATTGGGCCCACAACCTGGGCATGTGTCCTGACCGGGAACAGAGCCGGTGACCTCTTGGTGCAGGGGTCTATGCTCAACCACTGAGCCACACCAGCCGGACTAAAATAAAAATTTATTTTAAAAAAGCCATTAAATGCATTTGTTCTGAAAACTTAATTAAAACTTAATTGTTACTCTCCTTAACCCTCAGGTTTCTGAGTTGAGTGATCTTTAGCAGAGTCACAGAATCAGCCCCAGTTCTCTCAGTCCTTTCATTCACTCCTCAAAAGGCAGAGCTGAGAAGGTGGTTTACTTAGGCAAGGACTACAACTCCCAGGGTGCACCTGTGTGGTTGTCAGGAGCAACCAAGGAATGCAGACTAACAGCCCTGGTGGAGTCAGGACTATCCACAGACTGAGTGCCAGGCAGCCATGGGCCAGGATTATTATGCTATACTCCAAGTCACTCACAATTCAGAGGATTCCCAGATCAAGAAGGCGTAAGTTGGGACAGGAGCTGGGTTTAAGAATGTGCTGGGGCAAGCCCCACCTTCATGTCTTTCAAATAGAGCTTTCCTGCACGGCTTAGGACAAGCAAAGTAAACCTTGTTTCTTCTCTTGCTCCTTGCATGCTCACATCCTAGTTTTGGGCTGGGTCAGGGTTCTACCCTCCATGCCCTGTCTCCTCTCTTGGGTGCCTGGTTTTTCTAGCAATGAAATGGGGACAAAGGAGACATTTGAACTTTATTCTGAATGTTATGGAGAACAAAGGATTGTGAACAGAAGAGTGATCTGGCCAGAAGGATGTTACGAGTTTTATTTTGACTGTCACGTGAAGTTTTGATGTTGAATAAACTGCATCAAATCTTGGGGGATTTTACGGTCCATTTCTAAGAAAGTCTAGGACAGGAGTCAGCATATTTTTCTGAAAAAAAATAAACAAAAACCCAAAACTTTTGGACAAATATTTATTGAGTGATTACCTAATGGGTTAGGAGAAATAAATATGACTCAGACGGAGATGCAGCTTAATTTTTTTGGTGAATACAGATGTTAAGTCACAAGTGTGATGAGAGTTACAAAAAGGGAAGCAGGGTGATGTGGAAGCTTATATTTGAAGGAGAGAGACCCTTCAGAGGCTGTCGTGATAGGGCAAAAGACGAAACTTGAAGTAGGGCAGTGGGCTGGCAAGAGGGGAAAGAATAGACTTGACAGTTAATTGGATAATTGGAGGGTAAAGGGAGAATCTAGGACAATTCAATCAATTAAGATTGGGTAGTGATACTAGCTACATTTATTGCATTGTACAGATGCTGTTCTGAGAACCTTCGTTATTTCACTTAATCTTCACTACACCCCTGAGAGAGAGGTGCCATTATTATCCCAAGGCCACATGCCTAGTAAACAGCAGAGCCAGTAATCAGACACCATGCCTGCTGTAGTTGCCTACCATGGGCCACGTCCTGTAGGGCATCTAAGTGACATATGTGGAGAGAGTCTACAGTGTGATTGGAGAAACAAGACACAATTCATTGCCCTGGCCGGTTTGGCTCAGCGGTTAGAGCGTCAGCCTGCGGTCCAGAGAGACCCGGGTTCGGTTCCCGCTAAGGGCATGTACCTCGGTTGCAGTTTGTCCCTGGCCCTGGTTGGGTCGTGCGGGTGGCAGCCACTCAATGTGTCCCTTTCACGTCGATGTTTCTCTCTTTCTCTCTCTCCCTCCCACTCTATCTGAACAAAATATAAAAAAATCTCCTCGGGTGAGGATAAAAAAAAAGACACAATTCATGAAACAAAGAACAATTCAGGACACTGTGTCATGTCACCCACCATTCAGAGCAGCTCATTGACCAGTGGGACCTGTCTAGGGAAACATCACTAAGAGAGAGGGCAGTTGGAATCCAGAAAGACAAGCACAACTTAAGCATTGGAAAGACCTAGGTCTGAATCCAGGTTCTCCTACCTGCTAGCTGTGTGACATGGGCAAAGTACTGAATCTCTCTGAGCCTCAGTTCTTGCATCTCTTTCTAAGAAAGGGGTGTGTGTGTCATGGTATTAAAATAGGATATGAGATAATGAACATAAAAATGCCCAGCAATCATTTGCATCTGAAACCATGTCATACAGTGATTAAAAGAATGGTATATGTTTCAAACAACAGTACTGAATCCTTATCTCCTGCAACAACTCTTAAGGGATGCGTCACATATATAACACACTTCCATAGGAGTACCTAGAATTTACCCCTTGAAAAGTCAAACAATGATGCATAATCACTCAGCAATTAACCTTCTCAGTACCACTGTAGGTTGCCACATCGGTGCTGTGACTCTACCCCCTCTCCCACTCAGGAAAGCAGGTGAATGAGAGTGATATTACTGCAGAGATAAATTTATTTTTTTAATTTAAATCTCTATTGTTGAATGTAAAATGTATTACAGATGTTCCACATTTTTCCCCCATTGACCCCCTCCTCCCCACTCCCACCCCACTCCTGCCTTTTCCCACACTATTGTCTGTGTCCATTGGATATGCATATAAGTTCTTTGGTTTATTTCTCCCCCCACCCCCAACCCCTTTCCCTTTGAGGTTTGTCAGTCTAGCAATGAATTTGTACTTCTTTTTTTTTTTTATCCTCACCCGAGGATATTTTTCCATTTTTTTGTACAGATAGAGTGGGAGGGAGAGAGAGGGAGAGAGAGAGAGAGAAACATCGACGTGAAGGGACACATCGAGTGGCTGCCACCTGCACGACCAACCAGGGCCGGGGACAAACTGCAACCGAGGTACGTGCCCTTAGCGGGAACCGAACCCGGGTCTCTCCGGACCGCAGGCCGACGCTCTAACCGCTGAGCCAAACTGGCCAGGGCTGTACTTCTTAATCTCTTCACCTTTTTCACCCATTCCTCCAACCCCCCTCCCATCTGGCAACCAACAAAGTGTTCTCTGTATCTATGAGAATGTTTCTGTTCTACCTGTTCATTTTGTTTGTAGATTCCATTGTCGATAGATATGTATTCATTGCCATTTTGTTTGTTCATACATTTTATCTTTTTCTTCAAAAAGACCCTTCATCATTTCATATAATAATGGTTTGGTGGTGATAAACTCCTTTAAATTTTTCTTGTCTGGGAAAGTCTTGATATGGCCATCGATTCTAAATGACAGATTAGCAGGATAGAGTAATCTTGGTTGTAGGTTCTTGCTTTTCATCACTCAGTATTTCTTGCCACTCCCTTCTGGCCTGCAAAGTTTCTTTTGAGAAATCAGCTGACAGCCTTATGGGAACTCCCTTTCTCTTGCTGCTTTTAAGATTCTCTCTTTGTCTTGAACCTTTTGCATTTTGATGATGATGTGTCTTGGTGTGGGCCTCTTGGGGTTCATCTTGTTTGGGACTCTCTGTGCTTCCTGGACTTGTATGTCTGTTTCCTTCACCAAGTTAGGAAAGTTTTCTGCCATTATTGTTTCAAACAGGTTTTCGATTTCTTGTTCTCACTCTTCTCCTTCTGGCACCCCCAAGATGCGAATGTTGGCACGCTTGAAGTTGTCCCAGAGGCTCCTTACACTACCCTCATTTTTTTTATTTATTTTTTTATTCTTTTTTCTTTTTGCTGTTCTGATTGGGCATTTTTTGCTTCCTTATATTCCAAATCGATGGTTTGCTCCTTGGATTTACGTACTCTATTATTGAAGCTGTGTAAATTATTCTTTATTTCAGTTAATGCCTCCTTCAGTTCTAACTGTGCATCCATAATTTCTGACTGGTCCTTTTTTATGCTCTTGAGGCCCTCACTAAGTTCACTGAGGTTCTCACTAAGTTCATTGAGCATCTTTATAAGCAGTATTTTGAACTCAGCATCTGTTAGGTTGCTTAACTCCATTTCACTTAGTTTTTTTTCCCTGGGATTTTGTTCTGTTCTTTCATTTGGGACCTGTTTCTTTGTCTCCTCATTTTGGCTGCCTCCCTGTGTTTGTTTCAGTGTATTACTTAATGAGAGGTATGGGGCTAGCTGAGACTAGATGCTGCTTGTTTGAAAGGATTTAGGAAAACCTGAAGCAGGATCCAAGACAGGCCAATTCTATGGTTAAGCAACTGGCAACAGCTTGGGTGGCCTGAAAGTTGGGTGGGGCAGGGCCTCAGGGAATCACCAGGGCGGGGCTACCAGTGTGAGCCAGGTTGCTGGAGTCCCAGATATGGCGGCTGTCTGCCGCCCCAGGGAAGGGCTCACCAAAGGAACAAAGGCCTCTGACAGCACGTCTGTCCAGGAGAAAGCCCCCTCTCCAGCCCTCGCTCCAGTGCCAAACAGCTCAGTTCTTCCCTGTATGTCTCTGGCGTCCCTCGAGCTGCCTCCCCTCCAAGCTTAGAGGGAGAGAGTCCGATAAGTCCGTGCGCGGGCCCTTTAAGGAGCTGCCTGGGGCTCCAGCCGCTTCAGCTTCCCTGAGCCTCAGTTCCTGCTGGTTTTTCCAGCCAGAAGTTATGGGGATTCTCTTCCTGGCACTGGAACTCTGTGCGGGGCACCTGGTGTGGGATGGGGACCCCTCAGTCCTCAGGATAGGGTTGCAGGACAGCAGACCCAGCTCAGTAAGAGTAATCATTGCCTATAATTGGGAGCAGTCCCAGTGAGATGGGCTGTTCTTTCATTTGAGATATTTCTTTGTCTCCACATTTTGGGTGCCTCCCTGTGTGTTTCTATATATTAGGTAGAGTTGCTATGTCTCCTAGGCTTCATAGGGTGGCCTATTGTAGTAGGTGTCCTGTAGGGTCCAGTGGCACAGCTTCCCTGATCACCCTAGTTATATCCTCGAGGTGCACCCCTCGTGTGGACTGTACACCCTTCTGTTGTAATGGAGTCTTCATTGCTGTTGGCACGTAAATGGGAGAGAATTACTCAGGCTGATTAGCTGCCAGTTGTGGCTGTGCCTACAGGCCTCTGACTACCTTGGAGGATCAGCTGTGTAGAGGCCCAACACACAGAGAAAGACTTACTTCAGCAGGGCTCTGGTACACACTAAGTCCACTCCTTGAGTGTGTCACTTGTGGAGTTGGTTGGGTAGTAGTGCTCCACTGTGGTCTGAAGATGTCCACTGGGTGTGCTGGCTCTGGGGCAAGGTCAGCCTCTGCTTGTGTTCTACCTGGGCCACCAGGCATAAGCTACAAAGTGATCTGAAGATGGCTGCTTCTTGTGCTGGGCTTGGAGGTGCCCAGGAAAAGCCAAACTGAACCAAGGCTGGCTGCTTCTAGTGCCAGGCCTGGGGCCACTTAATGAGAGGTATGGGGCTCTCTGAGACCAGATGCTGCTTATTTGAGAGAATTTAGGAAAACCTGAAGCAGGAACCAAGACAGGCCAATCTTATAGTAAAGCCACTGGAAACAGCTTGGGTGGGCCTGAAATTTGGATGGGGCAGGGCCTCAGGGAATCACCAGGGTGAAGCAAACAGTGTGAGCCAGGTTGCTGGAGTCCAGGATATGGCAGCTGTCTGCTTGCCCTGTGGGTGAAGGGCTCACCAAAGACACAACAACCTCTGCCAGCATGTCTGTCGGGGAGAAAGCTGCCTCTCCAGCTCTCACCCCGATGCCAAACAACTCAGTTCTTCCCGTATGTCTCTGGTGCCTTTCAAGCTGCCTCCCCCATGCTGGAGCCTGGAGGGAGCGAGTCTGAGTAAATCTGTGCACAGGCCCTTTAAGAGGAGCTGCCTGGGGCTCCAGCCACCTCAGCCTCCCTGAGCCTCAGTTCCTGCTGGTTTTACAGCCAGAAGTGATGGGGACTTCTCTTCCTGGCACTGGAACCCTGAGCTGGGCGCCTGGTGTGGGACAGAGACCCCTCACTCCTCAGGGAGGACCTTCCCAGCTGAGGTGTCCTCCTGATTTTTATCTGCCACACATGGGTGTGGGACCAGCCTGTCCACGCCTCCACCCCTCCTACCAGTCTCCATGTGGCTGCTTCTTTAATTCCGTAGTTGTAGGACTTCCATTCAGCTTGATTTCAGGTGGTTCTGAAAGATGTTTGTTTTGTAGTTTAGTTGAAATTTTGATGTGGTGGTTGGAGGAGGCGAGTAACATATTTACCTACATGCCATCTTGACTGGAGGTCTAGAAGCATTAAATTGACAAGAGAGATCAAACCCATGGCAGCACTCAGAAACTGGAAGACACGGTTCTGCAGTCGCTGTGGGGATGAAGAGGCAGCAATGGAACATTAGTTCAAAGGAAAATCCAACGTGCCTTAGTGACAATGAGATGGGGTGGAGTGGGCAAAGGGAAACTTGGAGTCAAAGATAATGCTCAGCTTTCTGGCTGTAGTGTCTGGACAACTTGGGTTTGGGCGGGGCGGGATTAAGGAATGGAAATGTGTTCATGATTGGGCTCACTGTGGGGCCTGTGGGACGTTGGGGAGAAGATACCAAATGAGCACCTGCATACAGAGTCGGGGGTTCAGAGAAGGGACCTGTTTGTGACAGAGATTTAGGAGTCATCAGCGAGTAGATGGCACTCAAGGTGTGGGGTAGGCGAGCTTGTCCATGAGAACGTGTGGAGAAGAGAAGCAGCAGAGCTCTGGGGACTCCCGCCAGGAAGTGTGAGCAAGGCAGAGGAGCTATAGCCGTGCTCTGACCCAGAGGAGGGCATGTGGGGTCAAATTGGTACTGAGCTGATGCCCCTTTTGTTCTCCCCCCTTTCCACAACCGGTCTCTGCTCTGGAGGTTGACTCATCTGACCTGCTCCCATGGACTTCCTGGCCCTCCGGCTCCCTCATGCATCTGCTGAAGAGAACACAAGGCAGGGGATTGGAAGGGACAAGAGTGGTGCTGGGTATTCATTCCCAGTTCCCTTTCTGTGGGGGGTCTCCAGGTTGGCTATGACCCTTGACTGAACATCACAGCTACTGCCAAGGGCCCTGCCTGTACACTCTCCCTGGGGGGCTTCAGGTAACCTCCCTCCCTTACTCCTGTAGACTCAGGCAGTGCCTCAGGGCTCCTGGCCTCGAGCACTGCACTGTCCCTGTGGTTTCCCATCCACTTCCAACAACTTAGTGGTGAGTGGTCCCTTATTAAACTCTCTACAAATCATGCAGTTCACGCCACCTCTTTCCTCCTGGGACACTGATGCTAGATTCTCAGACGCTGTAGAAATCACGTCACTAGTCGCAGGACTGGGCAGATACAGAAGTGGGGAGAAGATGAGCACGGAGGTAGGAGACAGCGAAAGGACCTGACATGTGCTGAGTGCCTCTCTACTGGGCCCTTTGACACCTCATTTTATCTAATCTTCCCAAGAAGTCTGTGTGTCAGTTCAGACACCAAGATGGGATTAGATGTGCAAAAAATGTACTGTGGGGTGAAAGGGGAGCAGGAGTGTGCAAGGAGAGCCTTCAGACCACAGAGCAGGTCTGACACCTGTGGAAGGAGAGCGGGAAACAAGGGTTGGGGAAGGAAGGCTGTAGCGTGGTCTGAAGAAAATCTCCGCCAGGCTAATGGGGAGTCCTCAAGCAGGGGTTGCATGATGAGAAGTGGTGTGTTCTCCAGGGTTGGGCCAGCACTAATATCCCTAGCACACTTGGGCATTGACTGGGAGCAGCTGGGGTGGGGTGGGGGTGGTACAGCCTCAGCACAAATGTCCAGGAGGGCAGCTGCTGGGGCTGTCAGTCAACTATGCTCCCTACACTGGGTTCTCTTCAAGGGAGTCTGAGAAATATGCCTCCCTGGCCACCACAGCCCTGCTTTAGAGCTGGGCACATCAAAGCTCTGAAAGGCCACCAGGCAATAGATAGCAGAGCCAGCTGGGAAACATGGTCTGCACTCAGGAACATGGCAGCTGCTATGACTTGTATTAATCCTCCCTCCTCTAGGTACCGGAAACTTGCCCTTAAGAACCACCCACTGAAGTCCAATGAGCCAGGCTCAGCAGAGATATTCAAGCAAATAGCAGAGGCCTACGATGTGCTGAGTGACCGTGAGTGACTGGGGTGGAGCCTGGAGGAGTGACTCCAGGACCTCTCCTCTGTCCCACCTCTCCATTAAGATCATTCCTTAAGTCTCTGAGTGTTGGGCTTTCGGAGGGGCCCCAAATACGGTAAGCAGAATGGAAATAAACTGAGAAAGAAGAGAATGAAGAATTGCCTTTCTTAGTAGATACAAGCTGAGGTGGGGGACGTGGCGTGGAGAGCCCCAGATCAAGCTGATGTCTCATCAGAGCAGGACATTATTCTTCCCAGATTCACAAAGTAGCTAAATCTCCATTTCCCTAAGGACAGCAAGCATATAGAAGGGCAGAGAGAGGCCAGTAATTGGGACATTTTTCTGCTATGGAAACCAGAAGAGTGGAGGAAGTGATGTCGCACTCCTGCCTACATGGGTTTCCCAAAGGGCTTGTCCTGGAGGCTGTGATTGGCGTTCTGTACAGTAGAATGGCCAGACCACTGGGTTTTCCAGCCCCAACTTTCAGGACTTTAGACTCTAGGGTTTCAAAGCTCTAGAATTTAGAGGCTCCAGAATCATTAGATTCTAAAATTTCAAGATTCTAGAATTCTATTTACTCCAGATAAAATAGCAGCTATGATGGGTTAAGCTAAACCCCAGAAGGATAGCCTGACCCTTAGTCTCTCTGTTTTGACTCCGATCCCCAACCCTCCCCAGAAAGTCTTAGTCTTTCCTATCTCTCCTGGGGGGGCCACACGTAGGTCCACCCACAATGAAATTCAACCCCTAACTTCTAGGGTCTCCTCCCAAGGACTGCCAGACAGCAGACACTTTAGAAACAAGACTGCTTTTGCCCTATGCTCTTCCCCATACCCTCCTTCTTCCCAGTTTTCCAGCCATCCTAGCCCCCAAGGCTGAGATGGCAAATATCCTCAAGGTGGCATATACCTACAGCTGTGAAGAGAGCCATCTATGACAAGTTTGGAGAAGAGGGTCTGAAGGGCGGGATTCCTCAGGAGTTTGGGTCCCAGATCCCATGGACCCATGGTTATGTCTTCCACGGCAATCCTGAAAAGGTTTTCCATGAGTTCTTCGGAGGAGACAACCCCTTTGGTGGTAAGAGGTTCTACCTACCCCCTTGCCTTGATTGTAGCTGTAAAGATTCTTTTCTTTGAGTAGTTTTTTAAAAAAATTCACACATATATGTAACATGCTAAAGAAATAATTGATTGAAGAAGAAATAAATTCCAGCCTTCCATTCTTTTCCCAGAAGCAGTCACTCTCCGTTAACATTGTATGTATTATTCCAGAAATCTATGCATTTGTGAGCATATTGTTTTATTTTTACATAAGCCTTTTATTTCATTAAGGAAATGGGACCACATTGTACACACTATTTTTTCACTTATTTTATTATACATTATATACAGATTCACATTATTCATTTTTATGGCTGCATAAGATTTCATTGTACAGGTGTGTGTTGTCAGATGAGTCCAGGGGTGAATGGGTGATCCCAGGTGCCAGACAGACTAACAAAGAGTTGATTTTTGAGGCTCAGAATCATCTTGCAAGGACAACAAACCTTCAAAACTGTCTTCCTGGCTCCAGTTATGCAACTCAAGACAGTCTAGATTTTCACTGTCTGGCTCCCCCCCAGCCCCTTCTTCCTGGCTATATTACAGCCTCTATGCATTTAAAAAAGTTCTCTCTCTCCCTGGCCGGTTTGGCTCAGTGGTAAGAGCATCAGCCCACAGACCAATGAGTTACGGGTTTGATTCCGGCCAAGGTCACGTACCTCAGTTGCGATTTGTCCCTGGCCCTGGTTGGGGTCATGCGGGAGGCAGCCACCCAATGTGTCCCTTTCATGTCGATGTTTCTCTCTCTCTCTCTCTCTCTCTCTCTCTCTCTCTCTTTTCTTCTCTCTCCCTCCCAATCTATCTGAACAAAAATAGAAAATGTCCTCCGGTGAGGATAAAAAAAAAAATCCCTGTGAGACTTGGAAAAGCAAGAGACTTGGATTCAGATGGCCTGTTTTAAATCTATGCACTGCCACTTATGAGCTGTGCAAATCTCTTCACCTCTCTGAAACCTCAGCTTCCTCACCATTAAGTGGCTGTAATAGTCCATTGCTCACAGGCCATTATCAAATGAGATAATGTTTATGAAAATGGACTTTATAGTCAGAAAAAGGCCAAACAGTGGACCGGTCTCTCCCAGTGAGGGGTGCATGGAAGAGAGGGCTTTGCTCATCAGGGGAAGCCAAGCTCAGGGTTTGGGGGTCCTTCAGGCAGTGCTCAGGGGCTATTCTGCTGTGGTGCTTCACACTGGGGGTTCTTGTATCTCATCTCCCTGCAGAGTCAGGGGCTGGGCTTCCTGTGACCTGGCTATTGGGATGTGTAAGACCTGGCACACCATAAGTACTTGGTGAACAAATGAATTTAGCAATGCAAGAGACCAGGTAATTCACAGGCCTCTTGATTACCCATCACATCTTAGGGGGACATAGTGTGATGCCACCTTGCCCTCCCCAGCCTAAGGTCATCATGTCCTTGTAGCTTGTGAAGTTCATTCCATGGCACTAACATGAGAGGCAGAGTACAGAAAATCTTGTCATGGTAGTGGCTTCTGACTCTACAGTTTACAAAGGGCTTCACACCTGGCAATATAGTGTAGTGGTTAAGGGCACAGGTGCTGTAGTCAAATCATGGACCAGTCCCAACTCTACTACTTACCACCTGTGGGACTGGAAGCATTTTGCTTGGCCTCTGAGCCAATGAGATAATAACATAAAAACTAAAAACATCACCTGATGCATAGTAAGCTCTCAGCAAATTCTAGCTCTTCTTCATCTTCTTGTTATCTAATCCTAATGGTGGAAGGCAGGTCAAGCATTATTACTCCATATCACAGACAAAAACTAATGCCCAAACGATTTCACAGAACATCAAGGGACAGGGGCTCTCTCTCTCTACTAGGATGGAAGGGCAGGGCATCAAGAGGGGTTATGAGTCTAGCCCAGTTGGTGTGGCTCAGTGGTTGAGCATCGACCCATGCACCAAGAGGTTGCCAGTTCGATTTCTGGTCAGGGCACATGCCCATGTTGTGAGCCAAATCCCCAGTGGGGGGCATGCAGGAGGTGGCCAGTCGATGTTCTCTCTCATCGATGTTTCTATCTCTCTCTCTCTCTCCCCCTTCCTCTCTCTAAAATAAATTAAAAAAAAATTTTTTTTAAGAGGGGTTATGAGTATCGATCCTAGCAAAGGCGAAAAGAGTTGAGGAAAGAGTTGGGGATATGCTGGTGACTTCTCAAATTTGTTAGGGACCAGCCCTCCCCCTCCCCCGTCTCAGCTGCTGACTTTATAGAAACTTGAGTCTGGGGGGTTTTAGTGGTCTTGGGCTGGGCTGGACAGTGACGGGGAGTGTAGCCTGGAGAAGGGTAGGGAGGACCCTCCCCCCAAAAATGAACATGAGTCATTTCTGGCACTACCAAGTGCTGCCACTAGAGGGTTCTTTTCTCCTGAGGCAGACAGATTTGGGGGGTACTTCCCCAAGTTGTGGGGGAAGGAAGTTGGGAAAGTGAGGGGTGTCCAAAGTGGGCATGAAGCAATGAGGAGTGGCAAGAAATGATAATCAGTGGATCTGCAGTTGAGGACAGCTTCTTGGCCCAAATCTGAGTCTTCAAGATGGGAATGGGATGCTGGGTATTACCCTTGGGGTGGGGGAATTTCTATCAACCCAAGTCTCTAGACACAATTCTCTTATTCCTCTCTTCTCCCCACCTCCTGCAGAGTTTTTTGATGCAGAAGGATATGAGGTGGATTTGAACTTTGGGGGGCTCCGGGGCCGAGGGGTCAGGAAACAGGACCTTCCAATTGAAAGAGACCTCTACCTATCCCTGGAGGACTTATTTTTCGGCTGCACCAAGAAAATAAAGATCTCCCGCAGGGTGAGTACTTGGCTTGCTCCTACTGGGTGCCATCATCTGTTCCCTCCAACCCTAACAGTCACCCTGACTCTAACTAGAAAGCTCAGGTATGAGAATCATGCAGCCTCAGACTTGGAGACCTAGCACTGCAGAATTCTAGAATCCGAAGTTTGGAAGGGACAGTTGGGAGCATTCGCCTGGTTCTTTCCTAGTGTAGGAATTTGCTCTGCAACATTGCTCTTTGGGACAGGATTTTTCCCTTCTCAGTTCAGCCACATCCCTATGGGCTACAAATGGAAAGAGCTAAAACTGTGATTCTGCCCTCTGAGTGTTACCAGACCACACCCTCAGGATTTCAACGGGGGTATGACCCATGAGTAAGAAAGCAGTGTGGGAATTGAGGGTGGGCTGAGAGAGTCCCTGAGGGGACTGGCTCAGTTTTGGTGACTCAATCCCATGGCCTAGTCCTGTGCTAGCACACGAACAAGGTTCCCTCAAACAATTTTGCCCAGCAGAGGAGATGCCAAGTAGGATCATGCTTTCCACAGATGGCACCCATTTGGGCATGTGATTGGGGAATGGATGGATGACAAAATAGAGGAATGCTTCTGGTGAGGCTCAGATATGTTGACCTCTGTGTCATCCTCTGGGGTGGGAGAGAGGAACCGAGTACATGTTTACCGTGCATGTTAGTGGCCAGGGCCATGTGATTTCTAGGGCTGGAGTTGTGGGCTTGATCCACTCATGGTGACTGCTTTGCATCTCAGGCCCCGACCCCATAACATTGCCCTGCCACCCTGGATTCTGAAGTTCTTAGTTCTGGTGAAACGGGTGGGCGTGGGAATGGCACAGGGCAGCTTCTCCCCATTGCGAGGATTGAGCCTGAGCACAGATCCTTCGGGGTTCCTTTCATCTTGGGAAACCCTGAGCAACCCTCCCCGCACCACCGTGCTGCAGGTGCTGAACGAGGACGGGTACTCCTCTACCATCAAGGACAAGATCCTCACAATTGATGTGAAGCCTGGTTGGAGGCAGGGCACACGGATCACCTTTGAGAAGGAAGGTGACCAGGTGAGAGGAAGGGAAGCTGATTAAGGTCAGTCCTAGGGTCGGTTACCTGGGCTCAGGTGGTGGGAAGTCTGAGGGGGGAGGAGGCTATGCTTTTTCCTGCCCCTGTGAGCCCTGGTCTGCCAGGGAGACCAGTCTGCACAGTGGGTGAGATGATCCCTAATATCCCTTCCATGGGACAGAGCCTCACCACACCTCTGTGAGTGGGCAGCCCAGGGCTTCTCCCCATTTTGCAGAGTAGGAAAGTGAGGTCCAGAGAGGGAGGGCCTTGCCCAAGGCAAGAGCACAAGGGCTGAAGGAGACCCAGTCCTAACTCTAGTGCTAGATTTTCTTCAGTGTTTCTCTGAGCAAAGTCCAACTATAGAAACTACTCAGAAACTACTTATAAATAATTTAAAATACTTATTAAATAAAAATATAAAATTATTGTCCAAGGCAGTGATGGTACCTTCAGAGCCAATAGAGAAACCTCTCTGCCAATACTTCTTACCCTCTTTCTCACCTGTAAAACATTTACTTCCAAAAAGACCCCTTCAACACCCACCTACAATGATCCCCCTCTAGGCAACCTTCCTGGCCTCCCCACCTGAGTCAGCACCAATCTGAGTTCCTGCCTCAGTGTTGAACATGCTGAGGATTCACTGTGTCTGTTTACCCCTCTAGACTGGGAGCTCCTTGGCATAGGGACCAGTCTGATTTCTTTGTCCCCAGTGCCCAGAAGAGACCTCAGCAGAGTTTTGGTGACTTAATGAGACTTGGCAGGACAGAGACTTTGCAGCACACCCAGCTCAGTGTTCCACTCACCATTTAAGGAAGCCTCTGTCTCCCTTCAGCTGAGTGCAGCTATTTGGGCATGCTCAGTAGAGGAGAAGGAATGGGTTGGGGGCACAGGATTTATCCGGTAGTCTTCTCAGAGGAGAGGCTATGGAGTCAAGCTAAAAGGGTCTGTCCAGAAAACCTTGTCTAATCTCCTCATTGTTCAGATGAAGACATGGAGACCAGTAGAGGCAGGAACTTGGCCAAAGTCACACAGCCAATTACTGCTGTCCCCTCTTGGCCTCCCCTGCCCAGGGCCCCAACATCATCCCAGCTGACATCATCTTCATCGTAAAGGAGAAGCTACACCCTCGCTTCCGCAGGGAGAATGACAACCTTTTTTTCGTGTACCCCATCCCCTTGGGCAAGGTGAGTGGTCAGAGTGGAAGATCAGGGGGTGGGCAGATCAGAGTGAGCTCCTCCTGCCCCCTGGGAGGCCCCAGGCAAGCAGGCCTTCAGAATGTGGTGAGTGCCATAAGGAATCTTTCGCTGTCTTCACTCCAGAGAGTGAGTGGCCCCTCCACACCCTTACAACCCACAAAAGAAGCTGGGCACCAGCCTAGACTTTGCCTCTCCTCCCCCACGCCACCTTAGTCATTCACTAAGTCCTGTGAATTCCACCTCCAAATCCTCTCCATCTGGTCCACTTCTGTTCATCCCCACTGTCTGGGTCTGAGCAGCAGTCTCAGAGAGAGAGGCCCGCCTGCCCCCTGCTCATCTCCTCCAGGCTCTTGCCCACAGTGGTCTTTCCACACACTCATCTGACAGTGCCACACTCCTGTCTGAACATTTTCACATGGCATGTGAGGCCCTCTGCAATCTGGCCCCTGCTGACCTCATCCCCTGCCTTCCAGCCACCATGCTACTTAGAGCTCCTGTCCATTTGGTACATTTTCACACTTTCATTCCCTTGTTTATTCTGGCCCCTGCCTGGAGTGCTATCTACCCACCTTGTCTAACGGGCTAGCTCCTCCTCACCCTTATAGGCCCTCATCAACTGCGACCAGCACTGTGTAGCCCTTCTGTTAACCCCAGAATGTTTGGGGCTCTCCTTGGTTCCCACCGACCCCTTTACTTCCCTCTATCATAACATATATCAACATCAGTCTTACCTCCCAGACTGTGGACTCCTTGAGGGCAGGTAACTGCCTGGATCACTCACCTGTTAGTCCTTGATTATTCCTTCGTCTCCCTGAGGTCCAGCCATGGCTCAGGACCTGGTACTAAGAAAGATCATAAAGTGCCTTGTAAACAGAATGGCCAGAGGGACCTTCTCTACTCTGCCTTTGGCTTTAATATCCCCTAGGCTCTGACCTGCTGCACTGTGGAGGTGAAGACCCTAGATGACCGTCTGCTCAACATCCCCATCAATGACATCATCCAGTGAGTCCATCTGCTTGGGCCCCCATAGGCAGAAGGGCCGGCTGGGCCTAGAACAGCTGTTGGGGTTGCACGGAGCACAAGGGGGCGAGAGAGGACTAAAACCCAGCTTTTACTCTGCCAGAGCTGTGGGCTGCATTCACCCAACTGCAGTGCCTTTTCCTAACTTCCACAAAGCCCCTGTAGAGGCTAGCAGCCCCAGTGGTAGGCAATCCTTGCTGCCTTCATCTCCATCCTCCAAAAGCTCTGAGTTCGGAGCCCTTTCCAAGGAAGGCCCTCTGCATGGGAAGCTCTGCTCGGCAGCCCAGCACTCCCCACCACTCCAGGGTCTGCTCTTTCCTTCCTTGCTTGTCCAGTTTTCCATCCCTAAAACGAGATTCCTGGAATACGCCACCAGAGACGCAATGTAAGTGGGTTCCTAGGGAGCAAACTATCTGGAACAAGCCAATCTCCTCTCTCCTCCCACCCAGTTCTGGCTGAAGAAAGCCATCCATGGTGGAAGGTGTGGTGACTGTCCTGTGCCTGAGGTGACATGAGCAGGGGTGGCATGAGATCTGTGAGGTGCTGCTCCGGGGTGCCCTCTAAACTCCCTTCTTTCACCCTCCCGCAGTCCTAAGTACTACAAGAAGGTGCCAGGTGAGGGTATGCCGTTGCCTGAGGACCCCACCAAGAAGGGGGACCTATACATCTTCTTCGACATCCAGTTCCCCACCCGCCTAACACCCCAAAAGAAGCAGATGCTGCGCCAGGCACTGCTGACATAACTGGTGGGCTGGGGGCCAGAGCGGGGTCAGAGAAGGCTTGCTGGGCCTTCCCCATGCCTACCTCCCAGAGCCTCAGGGGAGCCACCCCACTGCACAGATGTGACATGATGAGGGGATGGCATGGGACTTTTAAACTGACACAATAAAGATTTATTTCCTATCCTCCTGTGACACCCAGGAGACAGTGTGTTGTGGGGAGAGAAGCTTCATATAGCCCTTCTTGTGGAGCAGAGGAAAATGGAGGAGGTGGGTCCCTGTCCTGGCTTTGTGGGCGTGGCTGGGTCCCTGAGGGTTCAGAGCCTCTGCTCCCACCTTAAGCCTGGGGCAGTGCTGTGTAGCCTGAGGGTCCTCAGCTCTGCTTTCTCCACACCTGATCTTTATTTATTTATTTTATCCTCACCCAACATTTTTCGATATTTTGTTGATGGAGTGGGAGGGAGGGAGAGAGAGAGAGAAACATCTACATGAGAGAGACACATTGAGTCGTTGCCACCCACACGACCCAACCAGGGCCGGGGACAAACTGCAACCGAGGTACGTGCCCTTAGCAGGAACTGAACCTGGGTCTTTCTGGACCACAGGCCCATGCTCTAACTGCTGAGCAAAACCGGCCAGGGCCACACCTGATCTTTAGAGGGGGCATTCTCTAGAGTGTGATATGGGCCCTGGCCGGTTTGGTTCAGCGGTTAGAGCATAGGCCCGTGGACCAGAGAGGCCTGGGTTCGGTTCCCGCTTAGGGGCCACGCACCTTGGTTGCAGTTTGTCCCGGGCCCTGGTTGGGGTTGTGTGGGCAGCAACCACTCAATCTCTCTCTCTCTCTCTCTCTTCAAGATAAATGCAAAAAATGTCCTCAGATGAGGATTAAAAAAAAAATTTAGAGTGATATGGTCACATTGCACCCAGGAAAACTGAAACCCAAGAATATACTTGTCTCAGGTGACACATGGCTCAGTGGTAAAGTTGTCATCAGAATCTCCAAGGCTACTTCCCACAGACTCACTCTGCTTAGAAGCTGCAGAAAGGACACGAGCACTAGAAATAGCTTTGGTTTCTACCTTACCAGCCTCAACTCTCTGGCCTGTGCAGTGAGTGGGTCCTAGGCCCCATCTAGGCAGGGTGGCCTGGGAGGCGGGAAACCTGGGTTCTGCTCCCAGCCAAGTCACTGAGTCCTTGGATGATACTGCCAATCAGTAAAGCAGAGCTCACAACCCCTCTGTCTACTTGCGAGGACAGTGATTGGTGTGAAAGTGCTTGGTGAACTTGCTCGGATTTCAGTCACAGAACTGCCCACGTGGCCTGCAGGAGCTCCCAGCCTCCAGGCCCAGCCCGGCTTGTGCACACACCTGCCTCCCATCAGTTAGCAGAGTTGTGCACCTCTTCTGCGCCAGGATGCCAAGAGAAAGATCCCACTCTCTGAGTCTGGGTTAGGTCTAATATGACAGACTAAGTGGCCACATTTTGTTGTTAATCCACACCTGAGGACATTTTCCATTGACTTTTAAACAGTAGAAAGCATGGGGGAGGGAGAGGAGGAGAAACATTGATGTGATAGGCAAAATCATTGGTTGCTTCCACAGGTGCCCCAAGGGCTGGGCAACAAATATGCAACAGTTATGTGCCCCTGACCAGTAATCAAACCTGCAACCCTTGGGTGTGAGGGCCAATTCTCTAACCACTGAACACACCAAGGCAAGTTGCCACTTTTGTAAAGACCTGAGGTACCAGAATGGGCCCTGTATTGCTTGGATTCCATCATCCAAAGCACCGTTGTTAACTTAAGGCTTTTCCCCTTCAACTGGGACTCAGCAGCACTAGTCAGCTACTTTTAACCCATCAGGGAGGAAGCAGCAGCAGCCCAAGATGTAGGATCTGGACCAGGGTCTAGGGAGCATCTCCACATAATCGTGGCCTTGTAGTCAGATACACGTCAGGTGTGCTACTTACCAGCCGTGTGCCCTTAGGCAAACCCCTCCACTTCTCTGAACCTCTAGAGATTACAACCTGTATCTTACAGGCCTTGTAAAAGCCAGGTAAGTGAAGCCAACTATGCCGAAGCAGGACCTAGGTGATGAGTGGTGGCAGCTGCACTGTTCTGAGAGCAGCGACTGGGTGAGGGCATGCCAGTCTCCACCAGGCCAGAAAGCCTGCGCCTAACCTTTTCCTCATGGTGAGACACTGAAGATCACTGTTTTTTGCAGCCAAGAATTTAAAGAGGTAGCTCATGCTGAAAGATCAGGCTCCACTTCAACAATCTTCGGTGATACCTTGTGAACCAGGCAAAGGGGTTACCATACACCCATTTTATAGGCATTTAAAACTGAGACCTACTGGCATGCTGTCCAGTGGTTCCTACCGCCTTTCCATGCTCTTCACGGTCCCTGGATCATGCCCAGAACCATGGTGAAGTCTGGTGGACTCCTGTGTCCAGGACACAAGCCTGCTGAATGAATCAGCTGAAATGCCTAGCACGACAAATGTCCCCTCAGGTGCCTCTGGTGTAAACAGTGAACGGCCTGCCTATTGGATTTAAGGTAATATTGCCAAAGGCCATTTATGCCCGACTGCCTGCAGACCGGCAGAGAACAGGCTGGCCAAGTTGCCTGCCTTCACCCTGAATTGACTCATGGCACCAAATCCTGCCCCTTTTGAAGACTGAGACCTTTGCTTAATTTATCAGAAGCTGGGCCCTCTTTCCTTCCCCAGGAACTGTTTAATATCCAAGACTTCTTGCCCAGGAACTAAAGGGCTGAGCCTCCAGCTGTGACCAATGGGGAAGGATCAGTAGCATCAGCTGTTTCAGGCTGAGAGGGTCATGTTCTCCCAGCCTGGCTTCACAGCTGCCCAACAGGATTCCTGAGGGACCCCAGTAAAGGTCCCTGGGGGAGAGTCCACAGAAGGTGGGAGGAATCTGAGTTCTAGTCTCAGATCTGCTACTGAGGTGTCCTGTGTCCTTGCCTGCATGACGTGTCTAGCCCCCCGATTCTTCAGACATTAGAGGAGCCTGAACGGCTGAATTCTAAGGGCCTAGCCCTACAGGAGATACTTCAGGATTCTGGGCCCCCTTGAAACAAAAGCCCTGCCCACCTGCTTTCCTGTCTGAGGACAGGTGGTAGGAAGGACAGAAACGTGTCAACCCCATGTAGCCTAAACTTTGGCTCGTCACTACCTCCTTGAGATCTCTAGCTGGGAGACACTGAGACTCCAAGTAGAAAGTAGCCTCAGGCTAAGGCCAGATGTCTGCCCTGCAGCCTGCCCTCCCAGTGAAGCAACACTGCCCCCCTAAGGATGGAAGTCTGGAGGAGGGAAGGCAGCCCAACTTGCCCTCACTAGGTCAGGGACTTTGGGGAGGTAGGTTTCCCGTTTGTCAAGTGGAATAAAATAAGCCCATAGCATCTCATTCATAAGTTCCTCTAAATCTTCCAAGAAGCACAGGACCTCACTTCTGACCTCAGCTCTGGGCTTGGTCTAGAAAGAGAAACGAACTAGATAACGTCCATGGGCCCGGATTGGAACTGGAGATGGAGAGTGAGTCACACATCACCCTTTCCAAGTCAGGGTGGCTCCTCCCCTGCCCACCAGGTGCCAAAAGGGTCCATGAAACTAAGATCTCTGATAACAGCTACAAGAGAGGGAGGAGACACCAACGTTGAGCTTATTTTATGGGTGACATGCTCGCTGGGCTTGGGGACAGGAGAAAGAGATGGGTTGAACTTTTCAAGGGACTGGGGCTTGGGACCCTGGCTGGTGACAGGCCTCCCAGTGTCAACTGGGGTCAACTCCACCAGGACTGAGACTCAGGCAATGGGGCGATGAGGTAGGGAGGAGGTGAGATGAGGTGGGGAGAGGGAAGAGAGGTGGTAGAAATGGGAAGAGGAAGGGGTGAGGGGTGGACAGTGCGGGAAGGGAAGGAGGGGAGGAGGAAAAGGGAAGCAGGGCCTGGCTGGAGTGGAAGCCAAGCCAGAGGTGGTCAGGTTGGCAGCAGGAGAGGCTCAAAAGGGCGCCTCCCGGGAAGTGCAGGCAGCCATGAGGGCCCGTTTCAGCTGTTCATAGGTGACGAACATCACCACGTTCCAGGAGCCCAAACGGAGAAAGGAAGGCATGAACCTAGAGGGGAGAAAACACAGGTCACAGGGGGCACTTCCACTTCCTGCTCACCACCCTGGGCCGTGGCATGCAATCCATCCCAGCTGCTGTCCCAAAGGTGTCTGGGAGAGCCCAGGGACCAGAGCCTCACAGCTGTGTGGCTGTGAGCAAGAATGCCCTGTGAGTCTCCATTTTAACACCCTTAAAGTAGGCAGCAACTCTGAGAGGAAGGAGTTAAGAGCATGAGAAAATGCCAGTGAAATACCAGGGCCATGATCAGAAATAGTCTGATACTTGGTTGCTACTCAGTTCCAGGTGGTTCTCTCCCACCTGTGCGACAGAAGGCCTGGAATCGGGTGGGGTGGATCACAGGCTCACCCTTTGTAGAAGGCTCGGGGACCCTCCTTTTGGAGCATGGTGAGGGCACAGTGGCCAGCGCTGCTGTACTGGCCCAAGGCAGAGTTCATGTATCTCGTCTTGACTACGTCGACAGGGGAAGCGATGATGGTGGTGCAGAAGCCTGCCCCGAAGGCAGAAGTGAAGTGGCAAGGAAGGTCATCTGTCAAGGAGGAGGAGCAGGAAGAGTCAGAACTCCTCACCCCATTATTCCAGAAGGAAAGAGATGATTTAAGTAGCTGGGGTCTTATGGTTTGAGAGAGAGAGAGAGAGAGAGACTCTAGCTGAGACCTATACCAAGAACCTAAGAGTCATTTGGCCCGTCTTGCCTCAGTACCTCAGTGTGTAAAGTGAGAGCTTCACTCCACTTGGCCTCAATACAGCAAGAGAAAAAGAGAGAGAGAGAGAGAAACTCACTCTACAAGCAAAAGAGAAACAGGTTGAAAAGATGTGGTCTTCAGGCAACCACATTCCCACACCTGACCCTGGGTTTGGGGAAGGGCAGGACAGCACCATTTACCCTAACTGACCTGTCATGAGGTTGGCCTTCAGGAGGGCATCCTTGATGAGGTCGTAGGTCACCAGCTCAGTACAGTTGACAATAGCATTACGAGCAATATTGGGAGATGTCCCTATAGAAGGAAGGGGTGTCTACATGAGAACAGCGAATAGGGGAGAAGGAAGAAGAGGAAGAAAGGGAAGAAACATCTGGTACACACCTTTCCAGAGTCCTCGGAACCCTTCCTCTCGGGCAATGGTCTTGTAGGCATCAACAGTGCTTTGGTACCTCTGGCCACCTCCAGCCCGGGCCTGAGCCTGGAACCGGACCTTTACCACATCTGTGGGCTGGGCCACGGCCACAGCCAGGGCACCTGTGGTGCCGCCTGCCAGGAGGCGGCTCCCGATGCCAGCATCTGTGGGAGAACCACGGGGTTGGTGTCCAGTGGGGCTTGTACTCATGTTCTGCCTCTCTTCACCAAATACACCATCTCTTGCCTTTTGGGAATAGGATCTAGACCAGCTCTTGCTCTAAGAATTCCTCACATCAAACAGAATATCACTATGAGTGTCTATTATTGCTAGATACTGGGACCCAGCAGTGAGTAGGAGGACAAAATGAGACTCGGTGCTTTCTTTCACAAAATATTTCCATTCACTTCATTTGACCTGCCCAATAGCCCTGAGAAACCAGTCATTTCCATTTGACAAATGAGAAAACCTGGGCTCAGAAGTGGCTTTTCCAAGGACTGGGGCACGTCAGACTTGTTTTCATCCCAGATCTACTTCTCCCTGCCACATGATCTTGGGAAACGTCAACCTTTAATCTGGGTCCTCAGTTTCCAAATGTGTAAATAGAGAGTGGGCACGCTATACTGAGAAGAAACAAAAGAATGCTGGCCTTGGAAGCGAAAGTCCTGAGTGTGTTTTTGTTTCCCACTGTGTGCCCTTGGCCAAGTCCTTCCCCTATCCCACCCCCCAGCAATCCTCAGTCTCTTCATCTTTAACACACGAATGATACCACCTACTCTCAAGGTGGTTGTGAGGACTGTCATGGCAGGATGCCCTGCTTGGAGCCGGCACAGCCCAAGAGCTCAGGAGTCATTAAGAGAATCAGGATCCTAAAGGAACTATGCAGTGAGGATCAATCATCACCAGGAAAAAAAGGCCAAGGAGCCTACAGCTCAGCTACACACTTACGCTCAGAGCCCTTGGTGTAGAACTGCTTGACAGAGTCGTAGAGGCCGATGCGGACAGAGGCGAAGCTCATCTGGCGCTGCAGGCCAGCGACTAGCCCATTGTAGAGGCTGCGGGGACCCTCGGTGCGCACCATGGTCAGGATGGTGCCCAGCACACCACGGTACTGGAGGCTGGCTGCAGCTCGCACGGCCCCCTGCCTTTCTCCTTGGATCTGCCAAGGCCAAAACAGGTATAGGGATAGGAAGGTTGCCATCCCCATGCTCCAAAGTTTAAAGTGCCACACGCCCACTGGCCCTTGAGGAGTCTGCATTGTGGGGAGGGAACAGACTAGACACCCTCAGGATCCCTAGGCTTCATCCCCTCACCTGAAGCCGAACTTTTGCAGTATCCAGGGGAAAGGTGATGAGATCTGCAATGCAGGCAGCTGTGCCGGCCCCCAGGAACTTCACAGTGGCAGTAGGGGGAACATCTGTGGCCTTAAACCCAACCATGGTGCTAATTTTCTGCTACCTCCCAGGAGATGAAGGAAAATTGGAGAAGGGTCACCTTCAACCAGCAACAAGACGAGATACAGGAACTCTGCCGGAATCTAAGCCAAGGAAAGAAAAGCCCCATCATCATCAGTATCCCTAGGGCCTCCCTACTCACCACCCCCACCCCCACCTTCCCTGACAGCACCATCTCCCTAAGCAAGGACCAGAGCAACCCTATGAGAGAAAATAAGAGTGAGCTCCAAAAGTACTCAAAGAGGGGCCGAAGAAGCAATTCCTGCCCAAGGAGTCCAAGTTTTGTGAAGAGCTCCCTCCCTTTCACTACAGGGCAAGTCTGGATCACAGATATCCAACTGCTGCCTTGAGTAGGCCCTGGCCCAGAACTCTGTCTGCTGGGTCCAGAGATTTCAATGATGATGCCTACATTCTTGCTTCTGTAGCTCTGTCTGGAAGGCAGACAGAAGTGGGGAAAAGGTTTCAGCCAGACCAAAACCTGACAGGCACAAACCTACAGCTTATGCTCTGGGTTTAAGTAAGAGAGGTTCCTATGGGTCCTATCTTGGACAGATAGGAACTATCCAAGTCTGGAAGGAATGGATAAGAACAATTCAGTTCCTTCCCATCCTATCAGTCTCAACTCTCTTCCCTAGTCCTCACACCGCTTGGACTCTCCTGAATTATTCAACAAGACTGTTTTGCTAGGTAGGTCCTGGTTCAGTGATGCAGGAGACAGTATCTACCCTAGAGGGGCTTATTGTCTGGCAGAGTAGGCAGGTGATTCAAGCTTTCAAGCTGCATTGGAGCTTCCAGAACATACGGTCAAACTGCAGAAGGAACAATCAACTCCATCAGGAGAGAGGTAAGGAAAGTGGGTAATCAGAAGACTTAGAAAAAGGAACATTTAGCTGGACCTTGAAGGATGCAGGGCAATTCTCAGGGCTGAGAGTAGTGCCTAGGTGCTCAACTTTCTCCCCCTGGCCTACTGTGTGATTCAGGGAAAACCCGCTCTCTCTTCGGCCAGAGTTTCCTCTCCTCCACCATAGGGGGACCCACATCTTCACCACAAGAGAGGTGGGGGTGGGGAGATGTAAGTCAGAGATATAAAGAGTGACACAGGAAACCAAAAGCTCCATTTTGTTCTCAGAGTTGGAACAACACCCTTCCCCATCCCCACTGGTGGAAGGGAGGAAGTGAGCCCAGCACCGCAGTGGGGGAGGACAGACCTGCTTCTCTCTCCCCTGAGACAACAGTCTCTGATTTCATAAGAGCAGCTGCTCTGAGTCCAGTCTGATTGGCTGCCCTGTTGCTGGGGCCAGGAGGGAGGAGCTGACCAGCAAAAGGAGGATGTAGTGGGAGTCAGCTGTGAACAGAGACCCATGGAAACAAACAGCTCACCAGCTTCTTCCTCCTGGGCTTCTACGCCCAGGTGGCTGGGTCAAACAGGGAAATCCAGAGCCTACCCACCATTCACTATAGGGTGGGGCTTATTTTCTTTCCCTGGAGCCTGGCACACTTGAGGCTCAGTGAATATGGGCGATAAAATGGCACAATAGATTGATGAAGGTGCTCCAGGCTCCCTAGCTTCCCTGCTCTGACATCCCCATCCCCCGAGGTGTTCCAACCCACTGCCTGGGGCACTCTATTAGCCCACTTACCCCTCAGGGCAGCCCTGTGAGGTGGCTGCCCTTATTTCCATATTACAGAGGAGGAGGGAACTTAGTAAGAGCCACATCTCCAAGCTCCAAAGCTATTTGCTTTGTACTAGTGCCCAGCTCATTTCTTTCCTGCCGTTTTCTCAGTCCCAGGCACAGGCAAGGTTTTTCACAAAAGTCCAAGAGCCAAATTCCCTTGTGACAATTCTGAGAAGGTGAAGGCAAATGGCATCCCTTCTCTGGGCATCAAAGACATGATATGAGTTTCATGTCCTGACTTTGAGCTGGGTTTAGGGTGTTGTGAGTGCCAGAGTAGAGTAAGACCCAGCCCCTACCCACCTCGAAGACAAATACACAGAGATTTAGCTGCTTTGTTGAATGTTGCCTTGGGTTTACCACAAGTCAGGTCCTTCAGGAGCATGGGTATGGGGGTAAAGGTCACCTCTGCTGAAGACTCTACTAAGAAGAGTTAATAAAACTCAGGCCTAGAGAGAGTTAATCATATTTTACAGTCCCGAGCAAATAACCAGTTTCAGTGTCCAAAAATAGTACATCTTATTACTAGTCTGAGTCTCAGGCTAAGTCAAAGCTGGAGTCAACAATATGTAGCTAGGCCCTGGCCGGTTTTCTCAGTGGTTAGTGTTGGCCTGTGGTCCAGAGAGACCTGGGTTCGGTTCCAGCTAGGGGCATGTACCTCGGTTGCAGTTTGTCCCTGGCCCTGGTTGGGTAGTGTGGGAGGCAGACACTCGATGTGTCCCTTTCATGTCGATGTTTCTCTCTCCCCCTCCCACTCTATCTGAACAAAAAATGGAAAAATGTCCTTGGGCCCTGGCCAGTTTGGCTCAGCGGTTAGAGCGTCGGCCTGCGGTCCGAAGAGACCCGGGTTCGGTTCCCGCTAAGGGCATGTACGTCGGTTGCAGTTTGTCCCCGGCCCTGGTTGGTCGTGCGGGTGGCAGCCACTCGATGTGTCCCTTTCACGTCGATGTTTCTCTCCCTCCCTCCCACTCTATCTGTACAAAAAATGGAAAAATATCCTCGGGTGAGGATAAAAAAAAAAAAGAAGAAGAAAAATGTCCTTGGGTGAGGATTAAAAAGCAACAACAGCAATATGTAGTTAGAACAATAGGTTTTTGTTCTGTTGATCCCCAGGGTCACCCAGGGCTAATCATTGCCCCACCTGGGCCTCAATTTTCTCCTTTGTAAAATGGGGACCATTATCCTCCTCTTGCCAAGGTCAGCTTAAGAACCAGAATGAAACCAGGGATACACGACAATGCTTTGTGAACTCTGAAGGGCGACTTCACTGGGTGAAGTGGTGGTAGTTAATATCTTGCTGATCCCCCACCTCCACCCCGAAAGCAGGGCTACAAGGCAGGAGGAGAACCTCTTAAACTGGACTCTTACCCGGCTTTGTAAGGTCTCACGCCGAGGCCTCCAAGATCAAGCTTCTTTAAAGGCGTCCCATTCTTCAAAGCTGCCAGTAGCTATCATGGCCCAATTCTGTTGCTTTTCCATAGAAAATGGCCGGGAGACGAAACACCTAAAGGTCATACTATGTGTCCTGTGGATTATGGCAAAAGAGGAGAGTTTAAAAGAAAATTCACCTTAAAGGACCACACCTTAGCAAGGAAAGGGCTATCTGCCCAAAGTACACAGCCCACTCAATCCGTGCCTGGGTGGAGAGAATGGGGTCCATTTCCCCAGTGCAGCTGGGGACTAATTAAGTGCACACAATGGAAGGGGGAAATGAAGCCAGGAATTCTCCCTCCCCTGCCTGCTCTCTTAGTATGACACATGGGCTCTTCTAGACTTCTGCTTTGGTGGCACGCATCCCCCAATCCAGTCAGCAGACTGGTGAGCAGGAGTGCTTGGAGTGGGGGGGTTTCATGATAGGTCAGACTCGCCTAGAGTCCACTAGAGCCCAGAGCTGGGCTGCCAGGAGGTTTGAGGGGCTGGGATCCGCCCCAGCAGCGCCGCTCAAAGCACTTTCCACGCAGAAATAGCTCCAGCAAAGGCCTGGAGCCCCCCGAGGAGAAGGAGAGGTCATTCTGGTCATCGCAGATGCGCCAGAAGGCCCCTACCCCAGGCAGGGCTGGGCATTCTGGCCGAGGATAAGGAATGGGCGGGAGAAGGTTTAAATTACAGTCAACTGAATGCAAGAACAAAAGAACAAAAGCGAGACAGGAAAAGGGTGCGAGAGATAAAGAAAGGACGGACAGAGAGGAAAAATACAAAAGAGGTTGGGGGTAGAGGGAATTAGAGCGGGCCGGACTCACCGGGCCGCAAGGAGAACACGAGACGAGAGTGCGGGTGGCTCTGTCGGCGGTCGGAGGGCGCGTGGAGGGAGCGCGAACTGTAATCTAAGGCGCGGTCGACCACGCTTGCAATGAGGTCTGGGGAGGCTGCCGCCGCGACTTAAGTTGTGGGGGTGGGGCCTGCGGGAGGGGCGGAGCCTGAGGAGCCCCCAAGCTCGAGGTGCAACCTCTCCAGCCGCCGCCTTGCTGCCGGGGTCCTCGCCATGCGCGACTTCCCCCACTCCCATTTCCGTAAGGGCGGGTCCCCGCGGCTACCCGGAGCAGCTCCCTCACCCCCACGGTCACGCCCTCCCCCAGTCCGCCAGCTTTGTGAGAGAGGCCGGGAAGCAGAGACTGCCTAGGGTCACACACGCCTCTGCCCCCACCATTCCCTGCCAGGACCCTTTCTAACAGCGGCCCAGAGGCGCGGGTGTAAGCACACTGCTTCCCTCAACAGACCCTTCCAACCGACTCTGCAAACCACCTGCCTGCCTCGGACCAGCGCGAACCCGAGCGCTTGCTCCCGAGGGGCGGGGCCTCCCGACCGGCCTCGCTGGAGATTGGTTACAGCCGCTCCGTTGTCAAAGGAAGAAGCCAATCCGGGCAGCAGCCGCAGGTGGCCGTTGAGAACAGCTAGGCTTCCTGCATTCTCCCGCCGCAGACCCGCCCTGCCCTGGGGGCCCACAGGGTTTCCGGCCCGGGTTGGGGGGGGGGGGCAAGCGTGACGCGAGCCGGCTCCCGGCGAGTGAGAAGGCCGCTAGGGCCCGGGCCTGTGGCCGGGACAAGCACGTGCACTAGGTCCCTGTTCGCCCTTCGCCCTTGGACTGTGTCCCTACTTTTTTTTTTTATCCTCACCCGAGGACATTTTTCCATTTTTTGTTCAGGTAGAGTGGGAGGGAGAGAGAGGAAGAGAGAGAGAGAGAGAAACATCGACGTGAAAGGACACATCGAGTGGCTGCCACCCTCACGACCAACCAGGGACGGAGACAAACTGCAACCGAGGTACGTGCCCTTAGCGGGAACCGAACCCGGGTCTCTCTGGACCGCAGGCTGATGCTCTAACCGCTGAGACAAACCGGCCAGGGCTGTGTCCCTACTTTTGAGTACCTTCTGCCCCTCTCTTCCACTGTTTTCATCCATGTCTGCCTCCCAAGAAAGTAGGAAGGGAAAGCTGTCTCCCTGACTATACTGTAAGCTCCTCCAGACCAGGAAGCTATTTCTTGTATTTTTAGTTTCGGCTGCTGTTGAAAGTGCCTTGAAAATTGTGCCTTGAAAATTGTAATTGGAGAACGAGCTGAGTGCAATTCCTATGTTCAGGGTCAGCGTAGATACTCCACATAACTATGTGAGGCTGGTATTAACCTCCATTTTACAGATGAGAAAACAGAGCCCCAAGAAGGTTAAAACCATCTGCCTCATGTCACAGCTAGGAAGTGGGGAGCCCTCTCTTCAACCCTGGTCAGTCAGACTCCATGGGTGTGTTTTCTGTACTGTCCACAAGCAGAAGGACTTGTCAGCTGAAGAAACTAGCTGGAATGGCAATGGATAATTATAGCAAGTGTCCCGGAAAGACGTCCAAACCTATAGAAAGGTTTTATAAGGGTTGATTTGAGCTAAGTTTTTTAGGACAGCCTAGCCGCAAGATCTCAGTGGATTAAGAAAAGGCTCCAAAGAATGGCAGTGATGCAGTCCTTTTATGCATTTAAAATCAGGAGAAAACATAAGGAAGGTACATGAGCCCGGCTGGTGTGGCTCAGTGGTTGAGCATCCATCCATGCACCAAGAGGTCACCGGATTAGTTCCTGGTCTGAGCACATGCCCAGGTTGTGGGCCAGATCCCCAGTGAGGGGCATGCAGGAAGGAGGTGGCCGATCCATCTTCTCTCTCATCGATGTTTCTATTCTCTCTCTCCCTCTCCCTTCCTCTCTCTCTAAAATCAATAAAAGAAAAAAAAAAAAAAGGAAGGTACATGAAATCTGTTGGTAGAGTAAGAAGATGTAAAGTAGCCCTGGCCAGTTTGGCTCAGCGGTTAGAGCGTCCGCCTGCGGTCCGGAGAGACCCGGGTTCGGTTCCCGCTAAGGGCGTGTACCTCGGTTGCAGTTTGTCCCCGGCCCTGGTTGGTTGTGCGGGTGGCAGCCACTCGATGTGTCCCTTCACGTCGATGTTTCTCTCTCTCTCTCCCTTCCTCTCTCTCTCCCACTCTATCTGTACAAAAAATGGGAAAATATCCTCGGGTGAGGATTAAAAAAAAAAAAAAAGAAGATATAAAGTAAAGCCAGGGAAATCTCCAAAAAATTATTTGGATTGGATCAAAAGCAAAATAGAGAAACATGCTTCTTTTACATTGGTGGGTACAGGATAGTTAATAATTAACATTTACATGCACAACCATGGGCACAGACATTAGACTGAGAAAGCAGGAGGAGGGTGAGAGTGGGGAGGAGGAGGTCAATGGAGGGGAAAAGGAGGAACAGTTGTACTACTTTCAACAATAAAAAAAAAAATCTTAAAAGCAAATGACAAAAAAATAAAGTTTGTCAAACACATGGTAAAAAAATAATTTACACTTAGAGTCCCAGATATGGCACCCGTCTACTAACTTCGTGGCGGAAGCACTCGCCAAAGAGCAACGGCCTCCACCAGCAAGTGGAGAAAGCTGCCTCTCTAGCTCTCACATGGATGCCAAACAAGGCAGTTTTCCCCCATATGTCTCTGGTGCCTTTCAAGCTGCCACCTCCATGCTGGAGCCTGGAGAGAGGGAGCGATTCCCAGCACAGCAAGAAGCCAAGTCTTCTGCAGCCCAAGGAGAGGGCTCTCACCAGAAGCCAAATGGACTAGCATCTTGCTCATGAACTTCTGACCTCCAGAACTGTCAAATACTGAAGAGCTCTCCTCTAGACTATTATATTTGCCTTCTAGTTCACTTCCCTGGCTTCGATTATTCTCTCTTCAAGACTGACTTTCATAAGACTTTCAGGTAAATGTCCTTTAAGTGCAAATTTGGTCATATTTTTCCTCTACTCAGAAACCATTAGCAGTTCTCCATAGCTGGCAGAATAAAGTGAGATGCTTGTTTCTCATCCCAGGTCCTCTTCATCTACCTTCCTATCTTTGATTCTCACTGTTCCCCTGTGTATACGCTGCATGAGAGTTTTTAAAATATATTTTTCCATTGATTTTTTTTTTTTTTAGAAAGGAAGGGAGAGAGAGAGAGAGAGAAAGAAACATCTATGTGAGAGAGAAACATTGATTGGCTGCCTACTGGGAACTAAGCCCACAATCCAGGCATTCGCCCTGACTAGAAATTGAATCAGGACCTCTCAGTCCATGGGAGGACGGTCAATCCACTGAGCCACACCAGCTGGGCTCTGCATGCGAGTTTAAAGAAGGTATTCACTCTCCACTGAACACTCCTCACTTTCCTCTGGCTTCTACCTGCACTACTTCCCCAGCTTTACTACATGTATAAATCCTTCAAGGCCCAGACAAAACCCTTCTCTTTGATGAGATCTCCTCATCCCCCACTCGCTTTCCTTTAAATACCCTCAACATTTTTTTTTTTAATCCTCACCCAAGGACATTTTTCCTTTTTTTTTTCAGATAGAGTGGGGAGGAAGGGAGAAAGAGAGAACCATCGACATGAAAGGGACACATAGAGTGGTTGCCACCTGCACATACTCAACATTTTAACTGGCCTTTATAATGACCTAATTTTGATTGTGTTCCAAATTGTACCTGCCTATGGTTGATCGCTGGTACCTTCAGCATTTAGCACATTCCGTTTAGCAGGCTAATAATACTAGCTGCTTTAACAAATAAACCCCAAATTTTATGGCTTAAAAAAGAGTAACACTTGCAGTATATAGAGATGATATTTGGGGAACAAGATAAAAATAAGGTGTTCTGTGGTCTCCTGCTTTGGTGGTCTTATGTTCTGGTGCCTGTGGCTGTGCCTTTGAAATAGTCTGGACAAGAAAATTACTCTGCCATTTCAATGATATGTTATCTTAATTACATAAGAAGAATGGTCATGGCTTACTTAAGGTAAATATTGACCTTTGCTACAGGCCTGGGACATGACTACCTGCTTGACCTGCCCAGTTAGGAATTTGTGATCAGACCATCCTGTGTGGTTACTTTTGGTCACTGAGCTTGTCAGACCAGCTATGTGACCCCCCTGAGCTTGTCAGGTTTGTTATAGCCCCTTCTTGATTCACATAGGAAAGGAAAACACCTGAGCACATGGCCCCGATAGAAGAAGAAGCAAAGCAGAAACTGAGAAGTCAAGTCAAAAAATTATTTTTGGCACTGTGGGGTCTCCCATCCACTGCTGGTCTTGCACTCAAGTGCAGAAGCTAGACCAGCATGAGATAGTAAAGCAAACTTGAAAAAGCTGGCCTCAACCCTGGTTGGTGTGGCTCAGTTGGTTAGAATGTCATCCCATGAGGGGTGTGGGTTCGATTCCCAGTTGGGGTGAGTATGGGAGGCAATTTATTTATGTTTCTCTCTCTCTCTCTGCACCCCCCTCCCTTCCTCTCTCTCTAGAATCAATGAAAAACATATCCTCCAGTGTGGATTTTTTAAAAAGCTGGCCTCCTTGTGAATATTGAGTGTTGAAGCACCTTCCTAAGTGAATGTACAAAGTTAAGAACATGTAGAGAGAGTTTTCTACTGGAATGTCAGAGTTTCTGGAGGCTTTCTTTTCTTCAAAGGTTGGGTTTAGCAGTTTTCCTAAAAATTTTCTCATTTAATTCAGAGCTGAACAGGAAACCAGTTAGTTTCTGTTGTGGGAACATCGAAGTTTTGTTTTGTTGTTGAATCCTTAGTAGCTTCCTCAATGACCATTTCAGATGATTCTGTACTTTCATTTGCTCTGAGCTGGAAGTTAAATCAGGTTCTCCTTTCTCACTGGAAGTACCACTAAGTTTTCTCCTTGCATGTTGACTAGAAGCATAGACATGGGGACATATCCCCAGAAACCCCTACAAGCCCACTTTGTTCTTTGATATTTGTAATGCTTATGAATACCCTCATTGACACAAGCAAACTCTCCTGGTAGCTGTTTGATCAAATGGAAAAGGTTTTTTTCTTCCCATTATTCAATATCTGAGTT